TAGTGCCAGCCTGTTCAGAAATCCCGTGCTGGTGAGCCTGAACCAGTACAAGTCGGCTCACCTGCACAGAGGGGACCGGACTAGTGTGCTCAGGTTGGCTTTGCCATCGGGGCACCCAGAGGAGGAGGTAGAACTTCAAAAATTGTGCGTTGTATTTTTACTGGTGACAAGCAAATTTTTAAATTTGCTTGAGTTTTTTAAATAAGTGCTTGCAGTCTATCCTTTCCTATTAAAATAGATTTTGCCAGTGTAAGCCGTTGCTTCTCCTCTGCAGCGTCATGTAACACCAGCGCAGCGCTCACCGAGGAGGCGGTTCCCAGCGCCTGGGCCGCCCCGGTGTCTGGGGTGAGCTGGGTGGTGGGAGAGCACGGCCTCCTCCTGGTCGGTCGGACACTTTTTAGTCCCTCCCTCGGTTCCGGTGGAGAAGATTTGTGTGCCCTTTCAATTCCTGGGCGATTCCGAGATAACAGAGGCAGAGAAAAGAAGAAATAGAAAATAAAACAGTTCTTACTAAGTTACTGGCTTAAACATGGAGTATTTTTATATATTTTATAGTTACTAAATTAGCCCCTTCAATTTTTTTATCATCTTCATAATATAACTTTTAGTATACAAAGTGTATTTACTTATATGAACTAGCTCTTAGCAGTAAACCTTTGTTGTGGGTCGTGCTCCATTCTTTTCACTAGTAGACCGCAGGGTTGCTGCAGTCTGTGGGACCCCGCACCGCAGTGCGTTCGGACGCGGTCTGTTAGTACCTGTGGACCACGTGCGAGGATGGGGGGCGGGGGGGGGGGGCGCATCACACAGCTCTGTGAAGGCGTGGGCGGTTGTGCGTTAGTGCTCGTCAGCAGTCTGTCCTTGGTCGGCGCCGGTCGAGTCCTTGGCCTGTTGTTGAACAGTGTCACCGTTTTCTTGGAGAATGGGGTAGAAAGTCTAGTTATCAGATTGGTGGTGGCTCTTGCAGAGTTGTGTGGGATTGATACAGAGCCAGGTAGAATAGCTGTTTATTTTGGACGGCACAGTCGAAACCCAGCTGTTTTCCAAACTGAGATGCGGGGTTAGAACCCGCCAAAGGTACAACTTGACGAACCGTTACAATGACACACCCACGCTCCCGCCACCGGGTCGAGACGGAGCGGGCTACTGCTGGCTGTCCAGCAGGTCTTCTCCGGCCCTTCTCAGCCGTCTCCACTGCGACCCAAGGTGATCGCTGGGCTGACTGCTTACTTCCCAGATTAGTCCTGTCCGGTCTTGAACTTGGCCGAAGTGGAGTCGCTCAGTCTGTGTTCTGCTGTGCCCGGCTGCTTTCGCTCAGTGTCTGCGTGGAAGCCGTCCGTGGTGCGGCAGGTGGCAGTGGCGGCACCCACTGTCATTGCTGCGTGGTGTTCCTTCTCAGGGCTGTGCTGGGGTCTGCCCCGCTGACATTTACTTTCTTTCCCGTGTTTCCTGCCGTGAGCGACACTGGCGGGAACACACTTGGACATGTCTGCCAGTGCGCATGTGTACACATTCCTGTTGGATGTATGTTTGAGTCTGTTGCCTGGAGCTTTTTTACCTCCGTTCTTCATTCGGCTTACTTCCTGTTAATTCTTCAGGTCACTTCCGCAGAAATTTTTTTAAAGGGTTTCATTTATTTATTTTTGGACAGAGGGGAAGGGAGAAAGAGAAGGAGAGAAACATCAGTGTGTGGTTGCCTCTCATGTGCCCCCTACTGGGGACCTGGCCAGCATCCCAGGCATGTGCCCTGACTGGGAATCGAACCAGTGACCTTTCAGTTCACAGGTTGGCACTCAATCCATTGAACACACTGGCCAGGGCAAGAAATTTTAAATTAGGTTGTTGCAGTCTATGGGAATGCCATCATAGTTCCCACCCCCATGTGCCATTTTGCATTTGTATGAGTATAGAATGCCTGTCTTCCTAACAGAAGGTGCTGGGGCACTGACTGTTTATGTTGGGTCCAGGTGCATAGTAGGCGTTCGGCAAATACTTGTTACATGAGTGAGTGAGAGGTTGTTTTTGTTTTGACTTGTCACCAAGATTGAAATATATAGTTTAAGTGGGACATTAATTAGGTAGCTTAATTTCTTTCAGCAAGAATTTTACTTACTTAATTACACAAAGAAAACCTTTTCCTTGTTAAACAATTCTTCCCTTTGTTTACGATGAAACGGAAAAGGGCTGTCCTGCCGGCTCGTTCTGCCATCGTGGGTGAACCGCCCGCCCTCCAGCCGCTCCCGCTGAGGACGGGTGGCCCGCACTGCAGGCTGGCTGGGCCCCTCTGCCTGGAGGCGCCCTGGGTGTGCACTGAGGGCTGCCGGCATGCAAACCCGCTGACCACAAACTGCGCGCGTGTAACCACAGGCAAATGTGAGTCCAGGAAGATGGTGCTCGGCCATGAGCTGTTTCCACATTCTCATTAACTTTCTCTTCCGCTTCGGCTGAAGGAGGACAGCCTGTTCCCCATCTGGAGGGTCCGAGCCACAGCAGAATGTGGGCATTGGTTAGCAGGCTCTTCGCTGCGCAGCTTACTGTTTAGTTTGGATTCTAATTCGTCAGAAGTTTGAGAAGTTTACATTTAATTCTCAGACTCAAAATACCATTTAGTGAAAAACAAATGGTTTTTAAATTATCTGATGGTCTCAGGCAGGCAGTTAGTTTTGTTCCCTCCCGTTCAGCTGGGGTGCACGACGCAGATGTGGCCGCCACTTGCCAGTTACCGTGGTTTCGGGAGCCTCCATGTTGGAGATGGAGTTCATGGAAATCGGGAAGCAGTGCGATACCCTTTCACCTGGTTTCCGTGCTCTGATCTGAGGCTTCCCTGTTGGCCTTGAGGTCTCCTGCGAGGAGGGCGGTGTAAGGCCCCAGTGCTGAGTCACGCCGCCTGTGCCGTGTGGCGGAGAGCCGGAACAGCAGCCCCGCAGCGATCGCCGGCGTCTGCCACTCCGGTAGACGACGGTGTAGGGTGGTCAGCCTCGACCGAGAGCAGCCGATGTGCCCACGCTCTGGAGCGTTTGCTGCTGTCTGGGAATAGAGCCTCTCCGTGGCCTCTGTTTCCACGACTGCCCTGCGGCTGAGACGGGAAACAGGGGCGGGGCCTGCCTCCACTCATGCACTGGTTCAATTAAAGTAACTCGGAAAGCATGCGCCGGGCTGAACTGATGACCGAGTTAAGTTACCGGAAGTGAGCCTGACGGTGTGCCTGCCTCAAGGCTGTGGGTAGGGATAAACATTTCTTAATCTCTTTTGTGATGAGCAGAGGAGCCTATTTTTTTCCAGGGAGAGTTTCGGCATGGGAGATATTAAAGCTAAGTTACTTAGGATGGATGTAAGGAAAACGTTTACGGCAGAGTACAGCAGTATCGCTCCTCTCTGGGTCTCCGTGCTGGAACTGCCGAGTCTCACCCACCCCCAGTGTATTGTATCTGCAGGACTTGATGACCCTGGGTAGTCTGGAGCAGGCCAGGCCAGGGGCACTGCCGATTCGAGGCTCCGCCCCCTCGCTGCTGCTCCCTTCCCTTTGTGGACGTAGGAATGCTGTTGTGCGTTTGTCTGAAGTTCCACTCTGCGGCCCTGCTCGCGTTCTCGAGGAGTAGACAGAGGGCCTCCAGGCGGCCTGCTCCCGTGACGCGAGCACATGGTTAAAAACACGGCTGCGCGTGCAGATGTGGTGCGTGAGACGGCCCTGCGTTCTCAGGGACTGCGTGTTCACGCACAGTGGGGACTAGGGAAGGCTAAGGCCCGAGCGAAAGATGGTGCTGAACGTGACATGGGAAGAAGACTTTGGGTCCAGGCAGTGGGAGGGGGGGCGTTTGGGGCAGAATGGGCAACGGGGGCAGTGGAGCAGGAATGACCTTGGGTGGGGAGGGCAGAGTGATGAGCAAGAGGACCACACCTTTGTGGGTTCACAGACTCCAGAAGGTATCATTTGTAATTGTCTGTTGAGACACTACTAGCTGTGGTGTATACTTCTTTGATTCTTGGTCAGATTTTTAGTATTTGCTAAGAACTAGGCAGATTTTTCCTTTAGAGTTTCAGAATTTGTGTTTTTTATTTCTTAATAGAACAACCGCAACGGGGTGCCCTGGGGAAATTACTCTGCGGGTTATATTTATTAGCAAGATAACATTCATGTCACCGCGCAAGAGACATGTCAGGACTTCCTGCTCCGGCGCTGGCCCGCGCAGTCGCTAGCCTTACTGCTTAGACGTCCGGTCGGTCTCCTGTGTGTCGGGCCCAGCCTGAGTGCTGGGGGCGGAAGGGCAGCCGGGACGGGCTTTCTGCCCTCCAGGGGCAGGCGGGCTGAGGGGAAGGCAGGGGACGAGATGCAGGGACTGTGTCGCCCCTGCGGAGACAGAGCTCCGTGGAAGAGCTGCGCTGGGGAAGTAGAGGAAGCCTTCCGGAAAGTCGCCCTCTGCCTGTGTTTGCATCAGGGGGACAGAAGGGGGCCGAGGGGCACAGGTGGGGTGGAGCCCGGCAGTCCAGGGGCCAGGTCCCCGCGCGGGGTGTGGAGATGTAACAGCGTGTGTTCGGGCAGCAGGGGGTTTTGTGTGACCGCAGCCCAGGATGCAAGGAGCTGGGGAGGGGGTGACGAAAAACGGCACAGAAAGAGCACGCTGAGGCCAGATCCCGGAAGATGCCTGGTCAAGGAGCTGGTGTCGGCCTGCGAGGGTGCCGTAGCAGTGTGGGCCCGGCAGTGAGAACAGTCGAACAGTCAGTGGGAGGGGACGCCACTTCACAAACAACCCCCAGACGCGCGAGCGTTATCACAGGCACCTGTACGTCACACCAGTGGGGGAGGCTGGACTAGCGGACGGTCGTGGCACGTTGGGTAACTCTTTGGGGAGAACGACTGAGTTACTAGTCTGAGAAAATATGCATTACACGTGTCAATATCAGATTCAGATTTATACCTTTTTGGTTGAAACTCTGGCTTTACAGCCAAATAGAATCTGATTTTCCAGGTCATGTGTCTTACCCTGAAACTTCCTTCGTAGCTGCCGCAGAGAAAGAGGCGATCAAGGGCACCTACTCCAAAGTGCTGGACGCGTACGGGCTCCTGGGTGTCCTGCGGCTGAATCTCGGTGAGTTCGTTATGCGGCATTACTTACTTGTTTTTACTTCTGTGTTGTACTCTAGGGATTCGAAACAGACTGTAAATAATGTCACACTCCATGTGTGAGCTGGAAGTGTGGTGACATCTTTTAAGCCCCAAGTAAGCTAATCTTGGGACCATGTCCGTGGGCCGAAAAGGTGTGCCACATGCTCTGGCTCTTGCAGTCGTGAGCTCCTGAGGCCGCGACCGTGGGAACTCTCTGAGCTCTGGGCAGCGCCCACAGGGCCGAGCTGGGCACCACCTGTCCTTCACCTGAGTGCGCCTGGGAAACGACCTCTGGGAACCACGTGATTTTCCTGGTGTGCAGTGGGAAGGACGTCTGGTTGGTATGCAGAAGGCACAGTTTGCGTCTGTTTCTGCCACTCACTGTCACCACGGGCGGCAGAGGGACCTCTGGACTGCCAGCTGGGTTGCCGGAGCAGTGGGGCTGGAGTGCGGCCCAAGGGCTCCAGGCCTGTCGCCGTCCTGCGATGCCGGGGGAGCCCACACTGCCGTGCCGGCCGGCACGCGGCTTCCTTCCCTGATGAAGGCGTGCCGTGGGGAAGGCTGGCGAAACCAAACGGTGACTGCGGTGAGGTGGTGGTGTCTGTTCCGGAGCAGGCGCCTTTTCTCGCCGTGAGCCGTGACAGCCCAGGGACCCTGCTCTGCGGAGCGCTGGCCCATAAGTGGGATTTGCCGTTTGCCGAGAATCTGCCGTGTGCCTATGTGCTGGCCTAATGTCGTGGGCGGTCCTCCCGGCCCAGGGACACGCGCTGTGCTCGTGGGACGGGAGCGCCTCCTGGTGGTCGTGTCACCGCACGGCATCGGGGGGCCGCACCTGAGGGCCGCACCCGCCCCCAGCACAGCCCGTGCCCGCACACACCACTGCCGCCTTCCGCCTCGGGCTGATTTCTCGGGATCGTGTAGAAAACCCTCCGACGGTTTTTGTAAAGGAAGTTGCTTTATAAATTGTTACCAGGGACTCTTCCCCCGTGTATCAGCAGCCGCGGACATTTCATAGTGTTTTTTACCTCGACTGGTGACCGAGAACGCCCACATTCGTGGTCGTACCTGAACCCCCAAACGGTCACAGAGGTGAGGTAGGGAAGGTAGCACGTGTTTTTTATGTGATAATTTTGTATGCCCTCGGATTAAGTAGAGGAATAATTTCAAAAATATGAGATCATTCTGTTAATGTTTAAATGTTTCATTACTCTAAATGCATTTAAACAAGGGTTTCTTCTACTTTTGCCAAAATCTAGTTGTGAACATAAACACGTCTGTGGTAAGTTTAAAATAACCACGCCGTCAGATTTAAAAAGCTGGAGACGAGAAGACAGCTGGAAGAAACTTTGAATAGCTTGAGAAATAGTGGAACACTTCGTCCGCTTATATAAATCTTTGACTTTTGCAGGTGATACCATGCTGCATTATCTGGTCCTAGTCACTGGGTGTATGTCTGTTGGAAAAATTCAAGAGTCTGAAGTTTTCCGAGTTACTTCCACTGAATTTTTATCGCTACGCGTCGACTCTGCAGACGAGGACCGCATTTCCGAAGTGCGGAAAGTGCTGAACTCGGGAAACTTCTATTTCGCGTGGTCTGCGTCTGGGGTCAGCCTGGACCTGAGTCTCAGTGCGCACCGCAGCCGGCAGGAGCACGCCACTGACAACAGGTTTTTCTGGTGAGTCCGAGCGGCGGTCTTCCCTTGGCGTCGCGGCGCATGGGACACAGCGCGGCCACGGGGACACGGTGCGTTCAGCAGTGGTTTCCGGAGAGAGCAGGGCGTGGCGGTCGAGCACGCGGATGCTCTCTCCTGGCCCGGTCCTCAGTGGAGCGGAGCGGGTGTCCGCCACTCACGTTGTGGAGTCGCCATGTGACAGGAAACCCGTTTGTCTGCTTGACCTCACCTGACCTTCTGTTTCAGGAGTACACTGAAAATCTTTATTTTAAAATTGGCAGTGTGTTAGTCTTAACAGAATTGTGTTATTGATATTTATTCTTCTTAGTGGTGAGATCTCGTCTCTGACCATGTTGCCTTTCTAAGCCAACTTGCCCTGACTATTTTAGGTTTTAGCTGTGAGTGGATGATCTTGACTCAGCAGACTGCGCAGGAGTGGTGGCTGGGGAGAAGATGAGCACTCTCGGGAATGAGACTCAGTCGGCAGCGCTGCGCTGTAGCCCCCGATTACACGCAGCGGGCTGGTCGCCAGAGAGCTCGGCAGGCGGGCAGGCGGCTGTGGTTGGACCGGCCTCACCGGGGCAGGGGCAGGCCCGAGTTGTGGTGCAGCATTTGTCTCGCCCACAGCCGGCGCCAGTGCCTTCTGCTTCCTCCCAGCAGCAGGCGCAACCCCTCCTTCTGTCCCCGTGCATGTGAGGCCAACGTCCGGGACTCTGCTCTGGGCCTCCTCGGCAGTTCCAGTGGGAGGGAGGGCTCCCCTCCTGCCCAGGCTGTCCCCTGCCCTCCACCGCCGCCTGGCGGGTCCTCGCTGACACGCTCAGGGTGGACCTTCTGGCCAGGGTGTCAGGGGCTCGAAGCCAGCCACCCCCTCTCCCCCCCCCAAAGAAACTGACTGCAGAGCAGCAGCTGGGTCCCCCTGGGTCCCCACGTGGAAGTTTCCTGGTGCAGAGCAGTGCTGTGGGGGGTGAAGGAGGGCAGGGTGGAGGCAGAGACTCGGAGCCCACCCACCAAGGAGGAGGCAGTGGGGAAGAGAGGTAGGGGAGGGGACGAGTCCTGGTGCTCAGGTCAACCCTGCGTTTCACCCACGGACTAGACGGTGGAGCCCTGGAAGAGGGTGGAGAACGGAGTTGCAGCAGGGCTGGGGCGGCTGTCCTTACTCCCCCCTCGCCCTTCCCCCAGCCTCCTCAGAGGGAGACGCAGACTCCTTTTATCCTCACCCAGGGTCATCCTTATGATGTTAGTGAGAGCGGAGGGGGAGAAACACTGATGCAGGAGAGAAACATCTATCGGTTGCCTCTCGTAGGCTCCTGCCAGGGACCGGACCCTCAGCCTGGTCATGTGCCCTGACCGGGGACGAACACAAGATGTTTTGCTTGTGGAACGACGCCCAGCCCCCTGGGCCACACAGGCCAGAGCAGAGACAGAAAACGTTCCCTCCATAATTACACGTCCACGCAGGTGCGGATGCTCTGACCCGCAGGCAAGCACGTCTGTTAAGTTGAATCAGCAGGAATATTTCACTCACCTTCTCGCTCAGTGGAGGGTAACGTAGACCACAGAGTGAGGGGGCCCCCCCCAGGACACAGGGCGAACAAAGGGAGCTTACACACCAGAGGGGTGCTTGCTCGTTTTACACTTTGTACAGTTTTGCCAAGGATCGGCATTCTCAGGCTTCCCTTTGCGTAGAAAAGCGAAAGCTTCGGGAACTCACAGTCACCACACACACCCTCGCAGCTCAGTGGCGGTACTTTCCAGGGTGCAGCCGCGTCAGTTTTGGAGCCGGGGAGTGGCACCTCCCTGCCGCAAGAGCCCGGTCGTGCCACTCCCCTGGGGAGCGGGCGCTGCTGCTTTCGCAGGTGTTTCCAAGTTAAACAGAATCAAGACCGGACGCATTCACAGCGAAGAGAACCAACAACTGACAGCGGGGGGAGGGACCCCACCCTCTGCCCCGGTGGGCACAGCAGGTCCCCTCTCCTCTGCTGGGACACGGGCCTCCCTGGGCTGTCTGGGTCCACGGAGTCACACTCAGCCTGAGCTTCGCCTCGGCCAGTGTGGGTGACAGTGAAGTCGGAACTTCGCATCACATTCTAGAGATCAGTAATGGCCGTCAGAGGTACAGCTTATTCCAGTCGTGGGTTCCGCACTAACTCACACCCAGGGTGCACTCAGGAGGCGGGGTGGAGGGCGGTGCGGCAGGTCCACCACGGCCACACACGGCCAGCGCCGGCATCGTTGCCCTGCAGCCCGAGCCCTCGGCGGGGGCGCCTGGCCCTGGGGCTCCAGCGGTGCCGCTGGGTGTCCTGGATAGCGATGACCCTGAGCTTCAGGAGATGCCCTGGGTTTTTTATATGCCTTGAAAACAGTGAGATAGGGCGGATCACTCAGGAAAGACTTCACGTAATACAGTAGGAGGGTCTCAAACCACAGAGCCAACTTCAACAGTAGGGAAGAGCCACATTTGTGAGTGTGGCCCCTTGTTATCTGATAATGCCAGAGAGGAAGTTTCCCTGCACAGCAGTATATTGTCCTCAGTGGGTGTGCAGTGTCCACAGGCTCCTTGGAGAGACCCCCGAGGAGGGGGAGCAGGACGAGAAGGTGGCCAGTGTGGCAGGGCTCCAGCCCCTGGCCCTGCTTCCACCACAGGTGCTCCGCTCTTGCCTGTCCCTGCCCATGGTGTCAGCGTGTTTGCATGCACGAAACTTCCTGTTCTGAACGGGTTTGGAAACCAGGCCCTCTCTCTTCCCCAGAATCTGGAAAGTAGGCATGCATTAAAACAGTAGGCACACCCTGGCCAGTGTGGGTTCAGTTGGCTGCAGCATCGTCCTAGAACCAAAGGGTTGCAGGTTTGATTCCCAGCCAGGCACAAACCTAGGTTGCAGGTTTCATCCTGGTCCGGGTGTGTAAGATCCCAGGTCTAGCCACTACGGGAGGCGACCAATTGATGTTTCTCTCTCTCTCTCTCTCTCTCTCTCTCTCAAAGCAATAGGGAAAAGAAATGTCCTCAGGTGAGGATAAAAAAGCAGCAGCAACAACAAAAACTGTAGTCTCTAGCCTGCCTGGCTGTTTAAATTTAAATGAGTTAAAGTAGAGCCTTATTTAAAAAACAGAGCCTTATGAAAGTCAGGCCTGGGAAGCAGAGCTGTGTGAGGCCGGTGGGGATGTGTGTGTGTGTGTGAAACCGTTTGCAGAGAAGCTGGGCTGTGAACACGTTGTCTGAAGAGACAAGGGCGACGGGGCACGGGTACTGACGACAGGAGGACGTGCTGCTTCTCCACGGCCCACACGTCCCACTCGAGGGGGTCTCGGCTCGCAGCCTGACCCCTCCCCCGATGCTGCCCACAGCGCGTGTCAACAGGCCGACTCAATGTCGGTGCCTTGAACGTGACGGCACGGCACGGACCTCGCGCGCTCACAGTGCCGTTCCGGAGCTCGCGCGACGCTGTCCGGGACTCCGCGCGCTCACGCAGCCCCTCCCCCTGCTGGTAGGAACCAGTCCCTGCACCTGCACCTCAAGCACTACGGCGTGAGCTGCGAGGACTGGCTGCTGCGCCTCATGTGCGGGGGCGTGGAGATCCGGACCATCTACGCTGCCCACAAGCAGGCCAAGGCCTGCCTCATCTCCAGGCTGAGCTGCGAGCGGGCCGGGACCAGGTTCAACGTCCGCGGGACCAACGACGACGGCCACGTGGCCAACTTCGTGGAGACGGAGCAGGTGCGCAGTGCTCGCCGCTGCCGCACCCACGCCTGGGCGGCGAGGGGCGGCGGGGGGCGGCGGGGGGCAGCGAGGGGCGGGGTGACAGGCTCTTGGTGGGTGCAGAGCTCGTTTCTGACGGGCGTGGGTGGGGCCGTTTTCGGGCGTTCCCGGCCACGCGCTGCCGTGAAACACACTCGCTGGGTCTGGCGCTCCCAGTGGCGGGGGCGGTTTCCTCTCATCAGCCTGGCGTGTGGGTGCCCACGTTTCAGTGCCGAGTTAAAAATCCTCACTTGTGGAGTCGGCAACTTGGGGAAAGTTGTTTTCTGTGCAATTAAGTCAACCCTAACTCTTATGTGTAGCTATACGTACCATCTAAAAATAAAAGTTCTGATATTTTTGGCTATGAAACCATATAACTGTAAATGTAATCTATACCTCCAGCCCAACTCCAATTTTCAAATTAATTTTAAAAATATAAAAAGCTTAATAAAAAATTATGTGAAAATGGGAAGGTATGTGTATAAAATTTTGAAATTTAAAAGGAATTCTTTTTTAAACATTGCGATTCTTATGCTATTTTTTAAATGTTTTCCTGGTTAATACAGGGTGAGGCAAAAGTAGGTTCATAGTTGTGAGATGCAAGAGTTTATTCTTGCATTACTTATTATTTATTGTATTATCCTCCCATATACATGGGTTTCCATGTAAACCTACGTTTGCCGCGCCTTGTGCGTACAGGAGAGTTACCACAGTGTGAAAGCATCAGACCGAGTCGGTAGCCCATTTGGGGCATTTTGTTAGGACGGCGCGTGTGCGAGGGCTGGGTCCTGAGACGGAGCTCGAGCGCCCCGGGGTCAGCTGGCCTGCCCTCTGGGCGGAGGGGCTGCGGGGCCCAGGAAGGACCCTGTGCACCGTTCTCCCCGCAGGTCGTGTACCTTGATGACGCCGTCTCTTCCTTCATACAAATCCGGGGGTCGGTCCCCTTGTTCTGGGAGCAGCCCGGGTTGCAGGTAGGTGTCTGGCGTTGTCTTTGTTTCCTCCCGAGAATTTCCGTGTTTGCTAAGATTTCAGGGTTGTTACTCGTTCACTGGATGGTTCTGTTATTCAGTGTGATAGCATTAGCTAGATTCATAAATGAGGAGCTAAGTACAGAATTCCTAGAACCTATCTGAGATATTGTTCCTGCAATGTTCTTTTAAGTATCCATAGAAATTCAGCTGCTGTGTCTAGTATTAAAATTTTGGTGTTTCCGCAGTCCGTTGCTTTTCAGAGTGCTTCCATGTTCGCTGTCCGTGTGTCTGACCACTTCGTTTCTGTAGGCAGGAAAACGTAGTAGTTACAACAAAGCTTCTGAACTCAGACTTCTCAATCTGGATTTTTGCTCTGCTACTACTGCCGTGTGATCTCGGGCCAGTGATTCAACTCTTCCGGGTCTCAGCTGTCTTCCCCGCAAAGGGGTAGTGGTGGTGGCGCCTGCTTCTTAGGCTGCTGCAGGCACGCGACGGGCAGCACTTGGACCGGAGCCTGGCGCGCAGGCGCAGCACAGCGTCAAAGTTCGCTGCCGCGGTTGTCGGTGATGGACCTGCTGGGGTCTCACTTCGTAGTCCGTAGGGGTCTGTCATCTTGAGTGTGTTCTCTGGCTTGCTTCTGGGCTTTTTAAGCTTTTCTTTGTTGATGTAAATGTCTAAGTATAAGATTTTTTTTTATATCCTCACCTGAGGACACCTTTCATTGCTTTTAGAGAGAGAGAGAGAGAAAGGGAGAGAGAGAAACATCAATGTGAGAAGGAAACATTGGTTGCCTTCTAATATGTACCCCAACTGGGTATTGAACCCACAGCCTGTGCATGTGCCCTGACTAGGAATTGAACCTGTGACCTTTCAGTCTGCGGGACGCTGCTCCAACTCACTGAGCCACACTGGCCAGGGCATAAGATATTTAATGGAACATTATAATTTTGGATTGCCCATAATAGTGTGATTTTGCATTTTATTTTTATTAAAAAAAAACTTTGGTCCCTGAAGTGTAAGTCACACTCATTTTAGGCGTCTAGTGTATGCTGTCTAGTAACTTCCGTGCCTCGGTCTGTCGCATTGAGACAGTGTGCGGGCAGCAGCCTTGCTGGGTCTCTCTTCCATTCCGGGGTGGTTGTCGTGGGGAAGATGCAGACCACTCGCACCCTCTCGGTGATTTTACCCTGGCAGGCTGAGGGGGCCAGCGTGAACGCCTGTGCCCCTGCGCCCGCGTTCTGGAGCCCCGGCAGGACTGCCCTGCCTTGGTGGCTTCGTCTTGGCACGTGGCGGTAACCCTCGGTAGCTGTGTCTCTCCCCGAGCTCTCTGGAAAGACTCCCATCCCCACCCTTTTGGGACCAGAGGAGGGTGTTCGGGATGTGCGCCTCAAGCATCCCCGGAGCCCTGCTTTGATGCCCGGCGCACGCAGTTGCTGTAGCGACAGGCTGGTGTGCGGCAGGCCGGCAGCCCGCTCACAGGCTCTGTCACGCTGCTTCCCGGGCCGCGCACCACGCAGGTCGGAGTTGCAGTGGCTGGTGGTTCAGCAGGGTTGGGTCCTGGGTGGTTACACGGAGGGGCCCTCTGTGGGCGGGGCTCCCCTCCTTCCTTCCTTCTGTGCTCTGGCCTGCCGCACGGACAGTCCGACCGCCTCCTGTCGTGTGCCTAGGGGCTGTGACGCAGACACTGGCCGGCAGTATGTGCGGCGCTGCGGACGGTACATGAGACGTTCACATGGACCACCGAGTCCTGTGGAGGAATCGGGACGGCACGGCTACGCTCTCAAGGGGAGGGCACCTCGGAGCGGCCTGGTCACTCTCTCAAAGGAGAGCACCCACGCCGCTGCTGAACAGGCTGTCGTTAGGGAGTTTTGGGTAAGAACACGAATACAGCTTATTCACCATTGCTTGGCAGTGAGGGTCAAACAAGTAGATAAGTTCAAAGAGCTAAAAAGGGCTCACACTGAGTTGGGGTTTTATCACCTAAAAACTACAGAACTTAAGGGGCTAAATTCATTGCCTGCCCGGGGCCTTCATAGTCTAATCAAGAGCATCCTCAGCAAAGTACCTTTCACACGATTTTACACATTCTTTTTTCAGGTCTGATCATCCCAGGAAGTCCGCAGTCCCCAGTGTGGATTGCACCACCCCTTGTCATTGTCACAGGCTTGAGTCGGACAGAGGAGACAAAGGCAGCCAGGAGATTTGGATGTCTCACAGGCAGAATGAGGACTCAGGCTTTGTTAAAGCCAAGGGGCAGGGGTCGATCACCCCCATTTTCCACAGCCCCGAGTCTTTCCCTGAGGGCCTTCCCATGTGATCGTGCCTGTCTGAGGTCCATCCTCCCATGAGGGATCTTACCCGTCATTGGCTAACCGACCAAGCACTGGGGGCCAGGCAAGGAGCGGGCAGCGCTCCTGCCAGGGAGATAATAAGCTTGTCTCCTTAGTGTCTCTTTGTCCCGATGTCTCTCACTCAGCCTTAGCCACGGTGGTTCACAGCTCCTGAAACCAGGCGGGGCGGCTCCCAATAGCGCTGAGAATGACAGGTTTTCGGTCATACCTGTTTGGATGGAGAGAGTGATTTTTGAGGCAGGAAGACAGAGCCCCAGTTCCGCTTGGTGGTCACCGCGCCAGCCCGTGGCCGTGCAGTGGGTCAGGGTCGGGTCAGGGGTTCTCGGTTGCTCTGCTCAGCAGTTCTGAGAGTCCGCCCTTCTCCGAGCAGGGGTGGTTAGTGTCGTGAGATGCTTTTCTCACTCCCCCCACTGCTCTGCAAGAGTGGGTAAGACAGGGATGGAAATGCGCACTCGATTTTAAAACCTGAAATGCAGATGTTGATTTTTAAAAATGAAAATACCCAAGTCCAAAAATTAATTTTCTCCTAGAAGACAGACAGGGACTTCTGAGAGTAGCTGTACACGGGGACTCCGTGTCCTATGTGTTCTCGGGGCTGGAACTGGATGTTCCAGGGAGGTCCTCAGGTCAGGGTCTCCGGGGACTGCCCCGTCAGCAGCCCCGTGTGGGAGCCCCTGGGCGGCCTCTCGCCTGCCGGTCCTCTGTCATCGAGTCCTCTGCGGTTTTAGTCAAACAGTGATAGAAGGGTCCTCTTACACAAATTTTTTTTAAGAGAGGGAGAGAAACATGATGTGCAAGAGAAACAGAATCGGTTGCCTCTCCCACACCCCATACTGGGGACGTGGCCCACAACCCAGGCATGTATGTGCCCTGACTGGGAATCGAACCAGCAACTTTTAGTTTGCAGCCGGTCCTCCATTCACAGAGCCACACCAACCAGGGCTCATCTAACATGATGTTAAAATGCTGATTTGCGAAAGCAGTGTGGAACTTCCTCAGAAAACTAAAAATAGATCTGCCTTTTGACCCAGCAATTCCACTGCTGAGATTATATCCTAAAAACACTAAAACACCAAACCTATGCACCCCAATGTTCATAGCAGCACAATTTACAATAGCCAAGTGCTGGAAGCAACCTAGGTGCCCATCAGTAAATGAGTGGATCAGAAAACTGTGGTACATTTACACAGTGGAATCCTGTGCAGCAGAAAGAAAGACGGAGCTCCTACCCTATGCAACAGCTTGGATGGAGCTGGAGAGCATTATGCTAAGTGAAACAAGCCAGGCAGTGAAAAAGACAAATACTATATGATCTCACCTTTAACAGGAACCTAAATAACAAAACAAAGAAACAAGCAGAATATAGCCAAAGATGCTGAAATAGAGGACGGGCTGACAGTGAACAGAGGGGAGAGAGGAGGGAATTTCAGGGGGGAATGGGTAGGGTTCACAGGAACAAGTTTAAAGGACACATGGACAAAAACTAGGGGCGGGTGGAAATGGGAGGGAAGTGGGGAGGGTTGGGTGGGTGGGCTGGATTGGGAGTAAAAGGGAGAAAACTGTACTTGAACAATGATTAAAATTTTTAAAAAATCCTATAGTTTCACACACACACACACACACACACACACACACACAAATGCTGATTTTCGGCCTCAACTTCCCATCAACTGAAATGAAATCTCTTAGAATGGGGCCAGGAATCTGCATTGCGACCACGTTCCCTTCCAGGCAAACTGGGAGCTTCTTCCATACAGGCTCCTGCTCCAGTGGCCGGAAGCAGCTGGTCCTGAGCAGGCGAAGGCCGCCCGGGACTCCCGGCCCAGCCTCCCCAGGGCCCTCTCCCTTCTTCCTGCTGAGCGCCCGTGAAGGCCGTCCTGGTGTCTGTCGCCCTGAAGACTCTCCCAGGCTCCCTCCCGGCTCTCCCCAGTTCCGTTCCGTTTCCTTCCCTCCCCACTTTGCACACGCTGTGCCCGTCCGGTCTGGGCAGCCGTGCGTCCTCACGTGGCCTCCTCTGCCCGTCCCGCGCCGCGCCCCGCTCTTCCCCCGCAGGAGCCCTCCGCTCCCCAGTTCGGGTCTACTGTGCCTCGGGAGCCCCCTCCGGTTGCGTTGAGCGGGCTCCAGTCCCACCCACGCTGAGCCCATCACTAAACGCGGAGTCCCTCCAGGGGGGGCACCCTTCCGCACAGGTGTGCGGCCTTGTGCCCGAGAAGCTCCAAGGCGGCGGGGAAGGCGGGCAGGCCGACTGATGGTCCGGCCTTTCACGGGGCAGGCGCATGCCGACACGCGCCAGCGTGGGGCGCCGTGAGACTCCTCTCGGGAGCAGCTGCTCGCTCGTTTGGCTTGCGGCTTGCTCGCTCTGAAGCTGCTTAGCGTTCACGATGCGCAGTGCTGCTCTGACGCATCGCGACATTACACTGCAGCTCGTCTTCGTCCTCAAAGACAGTCAGTCACGTGCTCTACGCCTCGTAGGGTGTCGCACAGAGACTTCCGTCACATTCCAGGGACACGTGGGCAGGAAACAGTGGGGGTGGGACGTGGTGTTTCGTGGCTCCCAGTTGAGTGGTTTCCTGAAAACATCGACGGGGCACCTTTCTCTTCAATTGGGCAAACTTACGGTTATTTAAAGCCTTACAGCTCTCCGGAGTGCTACTTTTATCACAGTGGACAGAACAACTTTTTATTGCAGAGTTAGTTTCTGTAATGCTGAGTAATGAAACACAGTCTAGCCCAACCAATATGTTGCTGTAAGAGTGATGTAACTAGTCATGTGTCGGGGGGCGCAGACTGGTGGGGACACCCACAGCCGTTACCTGAAGAACAGGGAGCCCATATTTTGTCACCCTGACAGGTGGGAGGACTGTGCAAGATAAATATTAATGAACAAAATGCTAAGTCTTGCAATTCTATCGAATTATAGGCAATTGCCTGAGACCACGCCAGAGAAAAAGTATTGACTTCTGCTGAGTTGTGCTGAATGCTTCATGTCCTAGGGCGCACCCCCTCAAAGCTGGAAATTTTATATGGACCCTTAGGTAGTATACGATGACATTGAATTCATGTAGATGTGTCGTGAGTCCAGTCAGTTTCTGTCTAAAAGCCCTGAAGGGAAGCTGCCGTTCATCAAGGTAGAGCCATTAGATGGTCCTGCTGACTGCACAGAAGGGGGAGGGCGGCATGGTGACCGAGGTTGGGGTTGGGTGAGCAGAGCAGGGCCCGTTTTCTGGTTTTGTTTGTGGAGCTGCACAGTGGATTTGACTGCTCTCCTTCCGTGCCACACCCCGCCGAAGGTCACTGTGTTCACAGGTTAGCCAGAGTGAACGCTGGGGACTCGGGGTCTCAGAGGGGGATGTCGAAAAGTGAAGTTCAGGGAAATGACCTGGTCTCACTTCTCGGTTCCTTTGTGGCACCCGTTACAGCCGTCTCAATTCCGCCTCTTCTCTGCCGCCCCAGCTGTAAACAGGAACAAGACACAGTGGTTAGATACTTTCTTTCTTGTTTCACTGTCTTGGCCCAGATTTCTCACTCTGCAGAATATGCTGTTATTCTAGTCTGTGTGGCTGTGAGACTGACTTTGGAAAGTCTCTTTTCCTGGGAATGACATTTTTGATTTGTTGGACCTTTGGGTCAGGGAGAAGTGAATAGAGAGTTCGGCATAACAGAGGAAAAAAGACGTAGACACTGCACTTGCAGACGGCTCGGAAGAGGGGGTTTAGGAGACCGTTTTGGAGTTAGCGGTGTGGACCCGAGAGGACAGGTTGTCTCACTTGGCTGCGTTTGGTGTTTTATTTCCCAAATAGCAGTAACATCTGCTGACTTGCACGGGATGCAGTTTGAGTTTAAAACAAGGTAATGTATATGAAAGCACTCTTAAAAATATCTTCACAAGTCAGGTTTTCTTTTAGTGTACAAGTATTTCATAGTGGTCTAACTTCTAGCTCCTTTTTTACGAGGTTGCATTTTAAAAAGTAAAAGGGAGGAGAAACTTCCGGAACTTGTTTGTTAAGGGAAGGTCACGAACGACGATCACCTGCCTTACTACTGTGCGTTCGGCCCAGCAAATGGGCTGTTGCGGATCGTAAACAGTGATTTCTCGTCCCCTTCCCGCGGGCTTTTGGTGTGACCAGACACACTCTTCTTGTCCTAGGTGGGATCTCATCGCGTCCGCATGTCAAGGGGATTTGAAGCCAATGCACCTGCTTTCGACAGGTAAGACCATCATCTTTACCTGGCGCCCTAAGTGTCGACATTGCCAAGCAGTGAGGCTAGTTACGATTGAATTTGCCGATTTATTTCACCTCTTTCAGCTCTAAGTGGCATTTCTGAGTCCTAGTCTAAGTGGAACACAGGGACTCCTAGTGCCAGGACTTCAGTGGCAGCAGCCCTGGCTGGGCCTGTGGGCCTCGGTCTCGGCCCCACGCCCCTCCCCGGGCAGCGCCCAGCTCAGCAGCTGAGTGCCAGACGCTGACTGGTCCAGCACGGGCTGTGCCCTGAGGGTGAGACGCAGGGTCCGGCGGAAGTGAGGCTGCTCGAGTGTGGCTGGGAGGGTAGTAACATGCGTGTAGTGATCTGTGGTTTTAATGTGAACATTGCACCTAAAATGTCACATGGTGTGCTTGCCTGTGATACCGTTACGTTACAGAATGACATGCTCATGACTTCGTCATAAAACAGGAGCCTTATTGGTGCCGGACCCTGGATACATTGGCTTTCAAACATTAGTGCAAAAAAAAAACCCCAGAAAATTACTATTGCCTTATTAGTATTTCTTTGCCACGTCGATTACTCTGTGAGGGGTATTTCAGCCGCACTGGGTTAAATGCTCACAGGATGTGATATCCTCGCGTGTGAGCTTCGGCCCTCGGCCCTCGGCCCTGGCTGCCCTCCCGGCCCGGCCGCTCCTGTTCCAGGCCCCCAGAGAGGAGAGGGGTCGGCGGGCCCACGGCTCCGGCACGGTGGGGGCTCGGCGTCGGTGGGCAGAGAGGCACTTGCGTTCACTGAACTCGCATCAGCTCGGAGTTTCGAGACCGTGCGCAAGTGGGTTTGTGTTCAGTTTTGCCAGTTCTGTGAGTCTAAAGTGCTCCCGTGTGGGTTCTGATCAGGAATGGACTCCTGCTTATTGAAAAAAAGTTTAGCTTGTCACTTGACATTTGCTTATTTTCTTTCTCTCTTTAATAGGCATTTTAGAACACTCAAGAATTTGTACGGCAGACAAATAATAATAAATCTGCTTGGGTCCAAGGAAGGCGAACACATGCTGAGTAAGGCCTTCCAGGTAAGGGTGGGGCGTGACAGATGCTGTGGTGGAGTGATCGGATTCTCCCCGGAGGTGGACCACTTCCTGGTTGACTCTCTGGGGCTGCTAGGGAACAGTGTGGGGTAATGTTGCTGAACTTGGGGTTCTAAAAGCTTCCAAGGTGATCGACACTATTTTCTAAAATGAGCTCATTTATGTTGTGGAGAACCAGAGGACACCCCACCCCCCGTCAAAAAAAAAAAAAAAAAAAAAACGTTCCCTGGCCCCGGTGGGAAGGTTGCAGGCAGCTCCCCCTTCCTCTGCTCATTGCCTCACCGGCTGCCTGGACGCCTGTCCTGGACTTGAACCCGTGAGAGGGCGAGCATGCACTGGGACACCAGCAGGGGGCGCACCTCGTCGTGGTGATAGATTCTGGAGTTTCCAGTGAAAATACCCCAGACAGATGCCTGACTTCTAAAGAAAATTGGTCTTCATAAACAATTACTGAATCAATAATTGATATAAATTCTGATGTTGCATGGAACTATAAGCGTGGACAAAATGGTTAGAAACATTTTCTTAAATTCAGTCTAATGAACTTCAGAATTAATTATTTGGCTATTTTGTGGTAACCTTGTGAAATAAATATTTGTAATGCATACATTCTACTTTAGAGAATGACTTTTTATGGTAAACTTGTAAAACGTTTGTATATATTGAACTAAGATATAAAAATGAATTTTATATCTTTTATAGGCTTTGTCTTAAAAATAAGTTACTTTATTTTGAGACTGTGATAGACATAAGCAGTTAGTAGTTAAATTTGGGTTGTAACACATGAAGTGGTGGTAGGCACTCTTCCGTCTTCTGAACCAGGTGAGGACGTCACTGACGCCCTCTGGCAGCCCACCCGCAAACCCCGCAGGGAGGGAACGGGGTTTTAGGGGCAGTGAGCCCTCAGGCGCCACGCGCGGGGCCTTTCCCTCCCTCTGCGAGTGCTGGCGGAAGTGCTGGGAGGGCGTGGAGGGCCGCCCGTGCGGAGGCCGCAGCCTGGACCGCCAGGGTCCGTTCAGACCGGCGGCGGCGGCGGGGCCGCGTTCTGTCGGCACCGTGACGAGCATCTGCCTTCCGACTTCCAGGGGCACCTGAAAGCGTCTGAACACGCCACGGACGTCCAGATGGTGAATTTCGACTACCACCAAATGGTGAAAGGAGGAAAAGCAGACAAACTACACAGTGTCCTTAAACCTCAAGTCCAGAAGTTTCTAGATTATGGATTTTTTTATTTTGACGGAAGTGAAGTTCAAAGGTTTGCCCTGTTTCTCATTTCTTTAAATTGGAACTTTGCTACCATTGTAAAACTATTCTTAACATGGAAAGCTAAAATTTCCTTTTTCAAGTCAGAATTTACGGTTCCAGTGTCTTTACGAGTGTACCCAATCTTAGGCTTCTCTCCTCCCTGTGGAATCCACCAAGTCGTAGTCGTAGCTGGCGCTGCCGCGTGCCCACTGCGGGCCGAGCAGCGTCCTTAGTTTCTCGTGTGTCAGTGACAGCACTCGTGGGGCCAGGTGCTGCGCCCCGCCCCGCCCCCCAGGACAGGGCGGCGCCTGCTGTGAGCCTGCCCCCCAGTGAGTGGGCGGTGCTGGAGCTGGGTTCCTGCCGCTGCCGTTGTCCGGGAGTGTCCCGCCTCTCCTGTGACACTGGGGTCCTCACGTTTCCTGACCTCTGTGAGGACGACTGCATGTAAATAGAAGTGAAAGACGTTGCTTATTGTCTGCTTTCCTGTAATTTAAGTCTTCAGTTTTTGCATATGAAGTAGAGGAGAAAAGTAAGTATTGAAAGACTGAAATTAAGAATATAGGTTGAGGCAAACTTTAGCAAACAAAACTCAAATTTTTTGTTTTTTCTATGTCCAATGTCTAGTATCAATATTATAGGAACTTTCTCGGACAGTCAGTCGAGGTAACAGGTTTTTAGGGCTTTAAAATTCATTCCTTAAATATTTGGTGTCTTTTACGTGCAAAGAACTGGGGTGTTTTGAGTCCGAATGTGTGTTCAGCTCCCGGCGGCTGGCCTGGTTCTGGGAAGTGGGCGTGGGTGCCCAGGCAGGCACGCGGCCAAGGGGACGCTGCAGAACGCCGGCCGTGGCCGGGCCTGGTGCGCATGGGGCGTCGTTCCCTGTGAAACCCTCCCATCGCTTCCTGCGTGTGTGAAAACTGCGATAGTGAACGTTGGGGCAGAGAGTAGGTGCCAGCTTCCGACCACCTCGGTTCCCCTCGGCTGTGTCCCCTCCGTGGCGTCTGTGCCGCGCGAGTCGCCTGATGGGGGCGTCTGTTGCAGGGGTCAGAGCGGCACCGTGCGCACCAACTGCCTGGACTGCCTGGACAGGACCAACAGCGTGCAGGCGTTCCTGGGCCTGGAGGTAACGTGGGCGCGGGCGTCCGAGCCTCTCCGCGGTTCTCTCGGGGGGCTGCGTGCTGAGTGAGGCCAGGGTTCCTTAAAGGCCTTCCTCTCCCCCAGTCTTCGTGTTTGCCAGAATCCCTTGTCACGGAAATGTCTGCTCTGCCCGGTCCAAATACTCTCCGGTGTAGCTGCATGTTTCCCTCTGTTATTTCCGAACTTCCCCTGGAGAAGAACCCCTGCTGTTCGCACTGTTCCAGTAATGGCCTCTTGTGCTCGTCTTTTGGCAGAAGTGGGGGTGTGGCCACAAAGTTAGTGCCGTTTCCCCTATAAACTGGCTCTAGTAGCGCTCAGTTGTCTTTAACTTCATTCGAAACAGTTTTGTTAGGTTGCATTGTGACAGCTGTCGTACCAGTGTGCATTTAGAAATACTTATTAAAATTGTGGATTTTTGTGTAGTCACTTAACACTGAAGATGGAAGAAAGTAAGCAACACTTTCAGCATGTTATGCTTTCTTATTTCAAGAAAGGTAAAAATGCAACTGAGACACACAGAAAAGATTTGTGCCGTGCTGTGACTGATGGAACGTGTCAAGAGTGGCACGTTTTTCGAAGTTTGGTGCTGGAGGTTTCAGCCGGACGATGCTCCGGGGCCGGGTAGACCAGTTGGAGCTGCCAGCGGTCAAACTGAGACCGTAACTGAGGATGATCAATGCTGTGCCACGCGGGAGAGAGCTGACATACTCAAAATATCCAAACCAGTACAGTTATTGGCGAAAGTGAAAAATGTGTCTTTTATTTCACAGAGAAAAAGGAAGTGGGCGCTTTGGCCAGTCCGATAGCTTGCTCTTCTTTCCTCTCGTTAGTGACGATCTGACCCCTGCCAGAGTAGTGGTTAGTTACCTGTTCTGCAGCTGGGGTTTCTGTCTCCCGAATGAAGCCGCAGTGTGTAGAGTTCTCTGCTACAGAAATGTCTTTTTCAAGTAACTAAATATATGTTATCGTTTTGCCTTTACTGAAGTCTGTCATGGATCTATTATTACAACTTATTTAGAAAATGTGACAGGGGAAAGGAAAGGCAAAGCAGGCGTCTGGCCGCTGGGGCGGAGTTTACTGTGTGGCTGGCGTGTGCCCCAGCCCCCCCTCTGACTGGCGGAGCGCGTGCGCCCGGACTCTGAGAGCAAGCGAGCGAGCGTGCTGCAGCCCTCGAGAGTCCGCACTGGAAGCGGAGCACAAGCAGGCTGTAGTTTTCAGAGTCTGACTTCGCTGGTGGTCCGCTGTTGGGGGTCAGGCATGAGGACACTGCCTCGCGTAGGAACCGGTTCCACGGTTACCACGTGGACTGGCTAAAGGCGGCAGAACCGCCCTGGCCGTGAGCACGAGTTCCGCCCAACTGCTTGGAGACAGAGGTGCGTCTGTGGTGACTGTGTCCTGGGGCCTGTTTTGTGTCGCTGCCCCTGCCGGCTGGCGGCGGCTCCGGCGTCAGGCCCCAGGCAGCGCAGCCCAGTGTGGGGCCTGTGTGTGACCTCCGCTTCCGATCCCACAGGAGTGGAGTGGCGGGTAACCCCACGCGTGCAGACACAGCAGAGGACACCCTGGCAGGAGGGGCTTCCGTGAGAGTCAAGGCAGGCGGTGTGACTGGACTCCCAGCAGGAGAATAGGCGGGCAGAGGGTTGCACGTCGCTTGGGCTCTGCCCGATACCAAGGCTAAAATTCATGCGGAGTCAAGAGCAGCAACTGTTGTAAACGCTGTTCTTGTTCTCCGTGATGTTTCTGCGGGGGCCTGGCCGCCATGCCCGCACAGTTGCCCTTTACACTCGTCCCCAGGGTGGTTTTACCTGGTGACCCTGCGAGAGCAGCTCTGTTTTCCCTCTACCCTCTTGACCTCTCCACCCAAACCGAGAGAGCCGAATACAGAAGCTGCAGAAACTTAGCTGTTCCGCACATACACTCGTACATTTAAATAAACCAGGTGAATACTTGTCTTCTGCTCAGCTGCCCTGGCACGTGCCCTGACTAGGAACTGAACCGGCGACCCTTTGGTTTGCAGGCCGGCGCTCAGTCCACTGAGCCACACCGGCCAGGGCTATAGGGATATTTTAATAAGATTAATTTTAATGTGTGACCAGAAAGATGTTCTTATTGCAACATGGGAATATCGAGTTGCTCGTAAGTCTCACTGATGGGGCCTTTACTTTACAAATAGAAGCGGTGGGAGACAACACAGTTGGCCTAGTAAACTGTGACGTCAGGTCCAGCCCCACCGGGCCCCAGGGTGCAGACTTCTGGTTTCCTTCTGGTGGTCCTCGAAGTCACGTCACGCCCAGACAGCAGTGCGGTGACTGCAGGGTGGGCGGGGAGGAGGGGGACGAGCGTGTGGGGGGTGCTAATGGTAATGGGAGAATACAACAAAAATGAAAAAGTCACATCACAATGAAGGTGTTAACGCAGTTGCAAGAATTTCTCTTTTGTTGTTTTAGATGCTAGCGAAACAGTTGGAAGCTCTCGGCTTAGCCGAGAAGCCGCAGCTGGTGACTCGCTTTCAAGAAGTGTTCCGGTCCATGTGGTCCGTGAACGGGGACTCCATCAGTAAGATCTACGCTGGCACCGGAGCCCTGGAGGGGAAGGCCAAGGTGAGTGCCGCTCCAGCCGACAGCAGCGGCCCTCCTGCCCGCCTCGCCTGGTGGGGCTGGGGCGGGGTCTTTGTTTCGTGACCGTGGGACCCGTCCCCCCATGCTTGGGTTCCTCCGTAACGCCCCTCCTGCGGCGGCGCGCACCAGTGAGCGGGAGGCAGGTGCTCCCTGGGGTGGGGCAGTGGGAGTGACGTGGCCGGTCAGTCCGCCACCCTGTCCACTCGGCCTGGGTCTGCACTGGTTCCACTCTTCCGTGGCTTTTCCCTTGTGTACCAGTTTCACTTTTTATATTGTGTATTCGATTATAAATATGGTTTTTAAAACCACAGTCTTTCTGACAAAGGTCCTGTCCTGTTTGGCTGGGTCCCAGCACTTACCACGGAGCCTGCTGCGTGTCAGCCAGGCGGCATCGCCGGGCGGACGGCACGTCAGCGGGCGAGCGTGCGTGCGAGCGACACCTGCTGGGAGCCCGGCGGTGTCAGGGCCCCGAGGTCACATGCTCCTCCTTTTCCCGGTCTCACCCTGAGGAGGAGGCTCCAGACGTCGGATGGGGACTCGGTTAATTGGAGTCCTCCGCCTCACTAGAGCCCCCCCCATTGCTGCCCTTAGTGGGGACTGTCTGCCGCCCCAGTGCTCGGCCCTCTCGGGGGGCTTGGGGGCGCACTGGAGGTGTTTTTTATTGTTTCACAGACAGTGTTGACCATTTGAGGCCCCGGCCTCAGCTGCCTCTGCAGCTCCTCCGATGGCTCCAGAGCAGAACGGGAGCACGTGCCCCTCACAGCCCTCGTTCTGCTTCCCCAGCGTGACGAGTGCGGCGGCTCCCCGAGGCCCCCCCATTGTCTCTGAGTCCCCGCCCTTCCCCGGTCTGCCCCCCCCCCCCCCCGCCCGGGCCTCAGTCAGTGCCGTGCCCCTGCAGCACTGCTGGCCAACCTTGCCCGAGTTCCTTTTGTCTGGTTTACAGAAGTCATGTACGTTAACCTCTGCAGCGTTTTCTCTGAAGTGATCCCTATTCTCAAAAACCTGAATTGCTGAACTTGCACTTACTTCTTTATATAAAGAACCTAATTTTTGCTATTATAACCTGATTCTCTACAACTATTGCTTAAAATCTTCTTTTATGTATTCCTACCTTTTTGTCTCTGCAGCGACTGAGACAATGCAGAGGTTCCCTCTGTTGTGAGTCGCCTTCCGTCTCTAACCCGACAGCTAGGACTCGTGTGTGTGAATGTGCTAGTCTGTGCTGAGCTAAAATCTAACCTCTGAACTGTTCTTTCTCTCCCTTTCTCTGGGTTCCTTTTGGTTAATTGCCCGATAATGTGAATGGTGAGTGTCTTTTCAAATAATGTCCTTTGTTTACGGAATCATGTGGAAGAGAATAACATTTTAAGCCTCAGAATGGTTATCTCTTTAAGAAATAAAAATCATGTACTGAAAACTACTTTCCTAAAAGGTAAAAATTGAGTTTATTTTAAAACAACTATCAAAGTCTATAAGATCAAAATAAATCCTTACGGTAACTAATGTGCCTGAGTAAAATATATGTTCATTAAAAGTTATGTAAACTCTGTTACTATAAGAATTAGCATAAGTTTATAGTTTTTATTATTTATATGTACATAGGCAATGAAATGACCTAAAATATACAGACTATAGTTTAAATGTAAACTATATTTGTGTAATATTACATAATATTACCTATTATGTATTTATTACATGTAATATATATTTACGAACTCTAATGATAAATTTCTTTTTAGACTAGACCTTCAGTCTTATGCTCAGTTATAGCTGTGACTAGTGAAGTTATTTGGGAACAACTTCAGTTTTGTTTCCTATTATTGGAGTCCTCTGCAGTTTCCCTGACGTGGGAGTGCAGTGTGGCCTCCCCGGTCTCCCCTGCTCCCCTCCCTGCCCGCCCCAGATCTGAACGCCAGGGGGCAGGGAGTGATCTCCTCGTTTCACGTGTACTCAGTGTACTTCCACGGAGCCCGCGCTCCGCACGGCGTGGGTGGTCACGGGGTGGCACTGAGCTTCCCCCTCCTCTGTGCGGAGCGGCCCCCCAGACGAGGAGCGGCACAGTGGCACCCGGGCCCGTTTTACTGTGATGATTTGACACCCAGAGTAGACGATGAGGTCCTTTATTACAGTGAGATGATGTAAAGCTTAAAGTTTCAAAATACCTCCCAAGGAAAAAGAACAGTACTTAGAATGAAAGTCCGTGCTCCTTTCTCCCCAACAGGCTGGAAAGTTAAAAGATGGTGCTCGTTCTGTTACTAGAACGATTCAAAATAACTTCTTTGACAGCTCCAAGCAAGAGGCCATTGATGTTTTGCTCCTGGGAAATACTCTAAATAGTGATTTAGCTGACAAAGCTCGAGCACTTTTAACTACTGGAAGTTTGCGTGGTATGCGTACTTTTATTTTACTTTCTGTTATTTGTATATTTCTTCTAAAAGCCCAAGAAGTAAATGTAAACTTATTGACATAAATAACTTTTAGGTTCAGTTGATTAAAATAGATTTGGAAGGGTACTGAATTCTACGAATATGATTTTTAAAAATCGCATTCTCCAGAGGAAGTTTACCTCTTACGGAATGTTTATGTTGTCTGTGGTGCTAGTGAGCTACGAGCTGGGGGGGGGGGGGCATTGCCAACTGCAGGTGAGGCGGGGCTTTGCAGACGGATGTGCAGCTCGGGGTGCACTCGGTAGCTAGTGATGCAGTAAACAGATGCCTGTTGCAGAGCCAGCGCCTGTATTGATGGTTTTGCTAATCATCACCCCAGAAGTTTCTGCAACTTGTTCTTACCTTTTCATTGCTGTTGCTTGAATAGATATTGTCATTTTAATCATTTAAAATATTGCTTATTATTGGACACTATTATTCCCAATGTTAACATGGGATGTAACTGTGTGAGTTTCAGGGTAGCTGTTGTCTTCTGTGTCTTCTATTAAAATCAAAAGAATTGGCGCTCATATCAGTGGACATTTATTAAGTAGAATAGTGGGAAAACTCAACGTTCATGGTAAAACTTAATAAATTAGACTTCCTTTCTCCATATTTTTTTCTATTTTAACCTTTCAGCACTCTAAACATTTTTATTTCTTCAGTTATCTCCAAGCCAAACCTCCGAGTTTTTTCCGTTCAGGTAGGAGAGATTGTTCCTCTCCGAGTGAGTCCTGTGCTCTCAGATAGTTCCTTGGTCACAGGGGTGCCCGAGGGTCCCTCAGGACACCTCGCAGGGCCGCAGGCAGCAGTCCCGTCAGCTCCCGGGGGTCTGAAGCTGGGGAACAAAACCTGCCCTGCAGCGGGCGCTGTCCTGCCTTTGTCACCTCCTTGCACCTGTCCCTCCCCTGACACAGAGGCATCACTCAGAGCCGTTCAAAGTAAGCACCTGCAGGAAAGAAGAGGAAAGTGAGGACCTAAAAGATTCCCAAACTTGACCATCAGTTTCGTATACATAAAACATGCCTTAAAAACAGTGCAGCCAGTCCTGCCATAGCCCTCACTCCGAGAGTGGGAGTTGTCCCGGCGCGGATGGCACACTCTGGGCACGGCGCCCCTCCTGCCTTAGCTCCGGCATGCTCCTGCGGGCAGTGACGCCTGTAGACACGGACAGCTGCCCTACAGGGCAGCCACACATGTGCACCCACACACATGCACCCACCTCAGACGCGCCCCTGCCTCGGGCCCCACGGTGCTGTGCACCACGTCCAGCCACGCTGGGGCGGCCACGTCCCACGCAGAGTCAGGCGCTGCTCCCCGCGCCCCGCCGCCGCAGCCCCCCCGGGGCCGGTGCTGCAGGCACACCGGGGGAGCATCCGCACTCCTCACCAGTCACCACGCGTAAAGCGGGGCTGGTGTCTCTAGCGAGTTCCTGTCTTTTTTTGGTGTGTCACTGCCGAAGCGGCTGTTTTGCCCTAACCCGTGCTTTCCGTGAGCCCCGGGGCTGTGGGATGTGGCGGCGCCTTCCCAACACGGCGATGTTCGTGACACGCACGCGGCTGTGGCAACTGCACTGACGGCGCCCGCCCGCCCGCCCGTGAGTCCCAGGAGGAACTCCGAAAGGCGCACATCAGGGCAGTGCCTTCCGTGTGCCCAGTGTCCCCCGGCCCCTTGGGTTCTGTGCAGCATCTCCTGCACGCGCACATGCACATGCACTCACGCCCACGCACAGGAGTGGCCCGAGAAGCAGGCTCAGGACCTTCTGATGTCACCGAGTCACGGCAGGGTTTTCGCAGATGGCGAAGGCCCGCATCGGCTATTGCCATTTATTTTTAATTCAGGGGTCCTGTCGCCATCAGAGAAAATAAAGTCAGCAAATGGACTTAAGAGAAGGAAATGAAGCCACCTTAGAATGCTTGTCACAAGCCTGGATTTTAACTGTCACGTGCTGTTTTACTAATGACTCTCTGTTTTCTCCTCCATGCATCCATAGTTTCTGAGCAGACATTACAGTCAGGTACGGTATAGAAAATCAGTCTGTGGAAAAGCAACGTTTTCTCTATTTTTCTAAGGTTGATGTTGTAAACAGATAAAGCCATATAAATGTCAACTTTCCTTTCATTTTTCCCTCAGACCCTAATAGCACAAAAGGATTCCTTGTTTCAACCTGAGGGAAAAAAGTTTAGGTTTGCGAAAACTACTGAGAAGGAAATATGCAAAGCTCTTCCTCATCCTGTAGCAAATGTTTAATTCCAGTTAAATAGAGCTCACCTCGTTGTAACTTCACTTTCGCAATTTATGGGGCAAGCCTGAGTTTGTTCGATGCGCGGGTGGAAGAGCTCAGACGCGACTGTTGTGGGGTGACTTCGGAGCACGCCCGTGACAGCCCGCAGCGGCTCCCACACACGGCGCTGGAAAGTCAGCGCCTCGGTTTCCCCCCACGTGGGTGAGGTGCTCTCTGTAACTGCTCTGAGACCCGCCCCAAAGTCGGCTAAAAGGCATCGGGGTTGCTAACAAAGAAGAGTTAAGCCTGTAAGACTGAAAGGTGATCCTTTTCTTGCCTTTCCTGTTCACAGGAATGCCATGCCCTTATTTTCTGAACAAGTTTGTGATCTTGTCTTGAAATGTGAATTTGTGGCCAAGGGAACAAAAGTTAAACTCTTGCCAGAAATTTAGTGGAAAAAGACATCTTTGTTTCCCTTCACCTCAGATCTGCCTTGCGGAGCGGTTGCTCTGCGTGTTCTGAGAAACTGGTTAGTTTTCGGAGGAGCAGGGAGGCACACAGCACTTGCTGTGCCTCTGCGTCTCGCAGCGAGGCCCGTGCTCGGAAAGGACAGCAGGGCGCTGGGCGTGCGCCTGGGTGTGAGCAGAGGCTCGCTTCTCTCTGCACGCCGGCGCCGGCCCGCCGAGGACCAGACGGGACGTGGAAAACTCGGTTCCGTGTGCGCGCTGACTCTGTCGGTGCGCACCATTTGTCTTGGTCCTGCCGGTTAGTTTGAGCTGTTGGGTCACCCTAGAACTTGAGATTGGATTTAGAAAGGACTGCAGAAGCTGTTTTCATAGTCGTGACACTGATAGTGGCTTCAGGGACGAAGAGCAGTGGTGGTGGAGGAACAGCCAGAGCAGAGCACCTGGCCTCACTGCCCGGCACCCCGGACGGGCAGTCCCGCGGACAGGGAGGGGGCAAGGAGCCTGCCTGTCCACCCCGGGTCCCAGAGGGCGGGCCCCTTTTCTGTCCCCACCCTCTCACCGCACTGCTGCGTCCTGGTGTCACAAGACAAACGAGAGAATGAAACCACACTGTGTGGCGGGCGTGAGAGTCGCTTCGACTCTCTCCCCTTGGCCAGGGTCCTGCCAGTGAAGTGCACAGTCTCTGTTGGTAGGTGAGGGCTCTCTTAAGGGTCTGTGCACTGTAAGTGCCGAGGATCCAACCTGCCCCAGTGACGCGCGGTTCAGAAGGAAGAGGAGTCGGTGGCGGTCAGGAAACACGCAGGAGGAGACCGAGGACTGAGAGGGTGCTGCAGACCCACGCGTCCAGCGGTTATGGGCACTGGGCACTGGGCACGTGCTGTGTGCCGGCACTGCTAGTCACTGCGGTGGCACGGCGCACAAACACCAGTGCTTCTACCCTCCCGGAGCCTTCAGTCCCGTGAAGGGAGACGGTAGTCACAGGAGAAATAAGTAAAACGCGCACAAGCTTGTAAACGGTGACAAAGCGCATGGAGAAAAACACAGCAAGGGGGAGACCCGGGAGGTCGGGGACAGAATGCAGGTTTCAGTGAGGTGGTCAGGGAAGCGTCCCTGAGGAGGAGAGGCCTGCAGGTGGCGAGGGGGGGCACTGTGGCCCCCCCGGCAGCCGGTGCAAAGGCACCCATGCGGGAGCAGGCCTGGCGTCCTTGTGAAAGTACCAGGAGTCCCGTGGCTGGGCAGCGGGTGGGCAGGGAGTGGAAGCAGGGGAGTGGTGCAGAAAGGCAAGCTGGCACATTCAGGGCGTCCCGGACCACAGTCGCAGAGTCTGCTTCTCCTCCGCGTTAGGTGGGAAGCGTGTACCAGTGACTTCGTTCTGCAACCTCTCATTAACACCCGTAGTCGGTGTTTTCGTCAGGGAGCTATAATTCATCAATCACCTGTCCTTAGCAAGAATCTTAAATGTAAATGTTCCTGAATGCTTTCGTTTGGGGAGAAACAAAATTTATATTTTTACCAGCCTTTAAATGAAACTTACATGAAAGTTGATTGCTTTATTTCTAAAACTGTACTGTCCCTAATTTTGTACCTTATAAAACAGTGCAGCATTTCACTGAAGCAGAACTGTTTGTTCTGCATGTCTCATGTTGCTACAATAATTTCACAGTAGCTTTTCTTACTTTGGTTATTGTGTGTACGTGGCTGATATTTTAAAACTGCGTTCAGTCCATTGCACCGTGCTGGGCCCTGTGTCCGAGGCCGCCCCCTCTGGGCCCTGCGGTAGCTCGCACGTGCCCGCCCTCACCGTGCCCACGGTGCCTTCCAGGCCTCGCCTCTCAGTTGCGAAAACCGATTCTAGCACTTGCTGTAATGCAGTTAAAACTCTGCTGTGCTTTGTTCTCGTCAGCCTCTTCTAAAGTCCTGAAGAGCATGTGTGAGAACTTCTACAAGTACTCCAGGCCCAGGAAAACCCGCGTGTGCGTGGGCACCTGGAACGTGAACGGCGGGAAGCAGTTCCGCAGCATCGCGTTCCGGAACCAGACGCTCACCGACTGGCTCCTCGACGCGCCCAGGCTGGCCGGCGTGCAGGAGTTCCAAGGTTGGTTTTCGATGGTACGGACTTGACTGGCGGGTCCCGACGGCTCCCTGTGACCCAGAGACGGGGTGGTGTGGATCCTCACCACACGCGGTGCTGTGTCCGAGAAGCTCGGGCTGCCGTTGGAGGCCCACGTCCTCATAGATCGGACCTCTACTGAAAGCTCACATCCTTTTTATTCTTACATTTTTATTTTCCACTTCATAAAAAAAAACAGAATGGTAAAACAAAATACTTTTTCCTTTGATAATTTGATTTCTCAGGAAATAGGATCCCTACATAAATAAATATCTTTAAAGGAAACCACACATTTTTACCTTTTTTAGTCATCTCTCACGGCCACATCCTGGGCGTTTCCCCACATTCTTACTACGTCTGACCCTGAACCTAACTTGCAGGAGCAGACATAATTGTAATAGTAATGAAATAACAGCTAACACTACAGTTGTTAGCACTTCACACCTGTTCATTTAACCCTCTGGGCACACCTGCTATGGTGGGAGGCACCGTTGGTGCGGTCCGGTGTCACAGGCCAGGGGGGCGACCCGCCCACGCACACGTGGCCAGTGGCGGCCGGTGGTGGCGGGGCCGGGCCGGAGCTCTGGCAGCCTGGGTCCGCCGGGGTCCTTGGGCGGCGCTGCACTTCGTGTGGGACCCCGGCTGGTGCCCTCTCCCCCAGAGCCCCCGTTCCCTGTCCATAAATACAAGGCAGAAACAATCCCACTCTGAAGTGTGTGTGTGACAATTAAATGCATGATATGTGTATGAGCCTCGCACCTAATAGCAGTCAACACATATTTTTGTGTTTTGTCTCTCAGTATTGGCGGGTGGTGTTTGTAGGCTCTCCCCAGCCCCTGCTCATGCTCACTTCTGAACCAGTACTTGGGCCGCCCGCGTGCCCCTGGCCCTTTGTCTCGAGCAGCCCCTTCCCTTCTCCGGTTCCAGTGGCCCCGAGAGTGCTGCTGGCCAGACCCCAGGGCTGCGTCCCAGCCACAGCATGCCTCCCGGCTTCCTGGGCTGCTTCCGCCCGGGAAGTAGCCCGCAGAGCCGAGCCCGCGGTTCCCGAGTGCAGCTGGGAAACCCCCAGCAGCCCTCTCGCCTTCGAGCTGGTGTCTGAGCCCCTTTCCCGTCCGCGTCTTTCCCGGACGTCCACTTCCCCGCCCCGGCGCGGATCCGTGGCGGTCCTGCAGAAGGGGCTCGTGCCTGGCCGCCCGCGGTGCGGACTTCAGCCAGAGTCCTTCACAGTGGTTTCTGAGAGGACTTACGGGCCTTCTAGAACAACAGTCTTAAGAAGCGATTTCAGGACGCCTGAACAGAAAGCCAGTTTAAAGCAGTTGTTGTGTCCCGCTCGTGGGTTCGGCCTCCGGCGTCAGCTCGGTCAAACTGAAAACAAGGAAAACGGGTTTCCGTGAGAGCTGGCGCAGGCCTCCGTTGCGCTGCGCGGGGGCAGGGCACCGTTGGACTGCAGCCGCATTTCAAAGTCTGTCTGGGGTGCCTGATTGCAGATAAGAGAAGCAAGCCGACTGACATCTTCGCCATCGGCTTTGAAGAAATGGTGGAGCTGAATGCCGGGAACATCGTGAACGCCAGGTAAGCCAGCCAGGTGGCGCGCCGAGGTCCCCCAGCGGACGGGGCAGGTCCAGGTGGTTCTCACGGGGAGAGACTGGGAGGACGTGCGGAAAGGCCCTTTGTGGACCGTAGAGGAGCAGTTCCCAAACTCTGGTATCGGGATCTTTCCTACTCTCTGAACACCACTGGAAGTCTTGAAGAACTGTGCTTTATATGGCTTCTGTCTCTTGGTATTCATCACGTTAGAATTTAGAAGTGGGAAATTTAAAGCATTTAATTCATTGTGAAATAATCATGTACCCATCATGTGTTAACGTCAGGAACGCATGTTTCCCTAAACAAAACCGTGCCGAGAAGGGGGGTGTATTCCTCGTCCGCAGTCCCCCAGGTCTCTCTAGCATCCAGCCGGGGACGGCGGGCTCCTGGCCCTCGCCGTCGGCAGGCGGGTGTGATGCGCTGCTCCGGCTGCAGCGTGTGCAGAGCACTGTGTGGGCACGTGGTTGGAGATGGAGCTACTACGTTAACAGGCTCTCCAGACAGTCTCTTCCCTGAGACGCAGCAGAACGCAGTGAGGGGCGGGGGGCTCCCAAAGCCCAGCTGCGGCGTGGGCTCTGGACCCACGGCAGGGAGCTGTCTGTGCAGACCCCATGTTCCCTTCTCCGTGGGAACCGCGTGCTGTCCGCCTGCAGACCGGCCGTCCCCGGGTTGTACCGGCCGTCCCCGGGTTGTACCAGCCATCCCGGCGGTGACACATCCCGTCACTCCACACCACAGCAGCACTAGGCTGCTGTCATCGCGGATCTCATCAGCAGGTTCTTCTATGTATTTGGAAGCTGTCACGATCACAGCATATACAAGCTTTCCAAATTCTCACTTTTGCTTAAAAACTCAAGTTTTTTACCTTTGGAAGTAAATACTATCATGTGTTCACCTTGAAAAGATAGGATTGGCCAGAAAAAGTGTTTGCTGAATGACCTGAGTCTGAGTACTAATTCCTCCTGTGATTCGTTCTTTCAAGTAACCTTGTTTTCCGTGAAGAAAGGGGCAGTTCATCTCTCAACTCAAGCTGTCAAGTGCCTTTCCAAGAAACAGGCGTCACATTTGAGGGTGCAGCGGAGGGCTTTGTGGGGTTCCCATTCATCACAAGGCGTCAGAGGGAGGTGACTCAGGGTTGGACTCTGGCAGAGTCACCGTTTGCTGCTCCACTGGGGCTGTCCCTGGATGAGGTGGCGTGTTTCAGGGGTGGGTGCGTGGCAGGGAGGACTGTGGTGAGCCCCAGGACAGTCTGGTGCCTCCTCGTCACTTTCACGCTGCGACACGGCTGTAGTCCGCGTGGCAAGGCGGGCAGATGCTGTCTCAGCAGGTTGTGGAGAGGGCGTTGCGCTCCTGGGCTCTGGGGGCCCCCGGGCGTTCCCAGAGCACGCTTGGGGGCTGCGGTGTGAAGCCTCATGGCAAACACCGGTGACCTGAGTGGAACGCACAGCCTGAGAGCCTCACGCTGACCGAGGACGCCTTCTTTCAGAGTCGAGCGCTGCTCTCCTTCTCTGGCGTTTTCAGAGGTTTCCAGAATGAAATTAGGAGCAGAAATAGTACGGTATCAATCTTGCAAACGCCGTTTTCTCTCGTAGCCAAAGTGAATAGCAGCAGCTCCTACCAGGAGAGGAAACCCAGCTTCATTCTGCTGTTTGAGGAACTACGCTGACCACACAGGGAACGCTCACGCGAGCTCTGCAGCTCCCCTGGCCCCGACGCCGAGGCGGAGCGCCGTCTCGGCCTCCGCCTGCAAAGGGCTGGTGCCCTTTACGTGTGGCAGAGAGTCAGCCGGTGATGGCGTCTCAGGGCAGCCTTCTTGGGCCCCACTACCAGGTTGCTTAGTTGTTTTCTAAATGCAGTTCAGTCCAGTTGTTCCTCGGCAGGTGGTTTTTCATTTGTTCAACCCGGGGGTCTCCAACCCCCAGGCCGCAGACTGGTCCCGGTCCCTGGCCCATTAGGAACTAGGCCGTGGAAAAACCGTCTTCCGCGAAACTGGTCCCTGGTGCCAGAAAGGTCAGGGACCGCTGGTTTAGCCAGGAGCTACTGAGCACCTACTCGAGGTGCTAAAGGTACATCAGCAAATGAAACCGGCAGAAATCCCCCCTCCGTGGGCCTTCTGTTCTCGTGGGAGGGGACAGACGGCAGCTGCAGTGAGTGAGCTCTGCAGCCTGTCAGGGGCAGGAAGTGCCGTCCGGGGCAAGCGGACGTGTGGAGGGGATGGTCAGGCCCGTGGCGGTGGGGGCGCGGTTCTGGCGGCTTGAGGGGAGAGCTCATGGACGGGGTGGCTGGAGGCGGGAGCCGACAGAGGCGATGGAAGCCGCCTCTCTCCAGGACTGGCGGGCCTCTGAGAGCCCTGTCCTCTGGGTTTGTGCCTGGGGGTGGGTGCCGCAGAGCGCTAGGTGGACTCGGCAGGTGGGAGTGAGGCCGTCGTAGGGTTCGCTGCTTCTGTGGCCCGGAACGAGGGGAAAAACCTTTTTCCTTTCCTCTCCAGGGGAAGCTCCAGGGCCCAAACTTACCACTCTGGACATTTATAAAGACTTAAGCATTTATCCCGCCTTCTTTGTGTGAACTGTGTTTAGGGTAATTGTACAGTTAAGAGAAGTGTCCTTTATAGAAGAATTCCAACTTATTACAAATGCCTGTGAAATGCTGAAATTACAAAATCAACATTTTGCTGCCCCCGATGAAATAATAGTCTAGGCAGTGGTCATCGGCGGATGCTAAAACCTTAGGAGACAGAAGGATTAAGGGGGGACTTCCTGTTACAAGGGGTTGGGACTGTCATGGCCGGAGCAGCCCATCGGGGTAGCGTCACAGAGATCATGTACTTCCTGCCGGGAGGCGGGGCGGCCATCCCACCCGTGGGGTTATTCTCGCCAGAACAAATAAGCGAAGTGTGTGTTTCCTGAGCTCCGACACGGGCCGGTGTAGAACCAGTGTGGGAGGCGGAGGGACTGGCCGGGGTCCCCAGGACCTGTCAGCAGCCCCGGGCTGGCGAGTTGTTCACAGACTAATGACCCAGCTTCTAAATGAGGAGGGTTGAAAGTCAAAGATGAGGAGAGGGTCCAGAAACATAGTAAGCAAATGCAACACGTGGGCTTTGCTTGGGCCCTGCGCTAAAGAAACCAGCCGTAAGAAGGCGTGCTTTAGAAAACAGGGGAATTACACATGAGCTGCGTGTTTGCTCGCACGAAGGCACTGTTAGCGATGTGAGGGTGACGGCGACGTCCTCCCACGTCAGAGACGCGTCCTGCAGTGCTTGCAGGCTGGCCGGCGGCGTCTCCGACCTGCTGTGAATACTCCAGGTGCACCCCGCCCCGAGGAGAAGAGGGGCGGGACGGAGGTGGGGAGACGGGCAAATGCCGGTCGCTGTTGAAGCTGGGTGGTAGGTGTGATTTGCGATGGTCTCTCCTGTGTGTATCTAAATTCCTCTGTCACACGTTTTTTAAAGTATTAGTTATGATCCAGAAAAATGGGGAAGGGCAGACACGCGTCTGGGAGCGTGTACGTCTCTGCCGCCCTAATGGACACTTAGGAAAAGGCAGGGTGCACACGCGTGAGATCACTCACGTGGTGAGCCCTCGTTCACAAATGAGTAGGCTGAAAGTTCTTTGCACAGCAGTAGTAGGTTAGATTCTGGAACGTGCGTTCTCCGGGCTGAATTTTGGGTTTTCCTTTTTAAGGGAAACAAGAAACCAGCCTGCATACAGGTTTCCCCGCTGGCGTGGGTTTCACGACTGTCGGCCTCCTGATTGAATTCAAGCGTGTAACTGTGCAGGTGCCCGTTGTCCCATAAAACAGGCTCTCTTGTCACTGTCTTTCCGGTGTGCCCTGGCAGCACGACGAACCAGAAGCTGTGGGCGGTGGAGCTGCAGAAGACCGTCTCCAGGGACCACAAGTACGTGCTGCTGGCCTCGGAGCAGCTGGTGGGCGTCTGCCTGTTCGTGTTCATCCGGCCGCAGCACGCGCCGTTCGTCAGGTCAGTGTGGGCACGCGCCGCGGCCGCCCCCCGCCCCCGCACGCCGGCCGAGGCCCAGAGGGCTCGCTGCCCCGGAGACGCTCTCACCTGGGCCTGTTTTCCGATGCCCTTTGATTGAAGAGTCACCAGTAGACACTGAAAATAGCCCAGTGTCACAGCTTGCCCACCAGTCGCCACGTTATGCGTAGTTCTAGAATCAAGTAAGGTGCACTCCTGAGGTCCGGCACGCAGGGAGGGACCCACTGACGCCTCAGGGCTCTGTGTTGCAGGGACGTGGCGGTCGACACGGTGAAGACAGGCATGGGAGGCGCGGCCGGCAACAAGGGCGCAGTGGCCATCCGCATGCTGTTCCACACCACCAGCCTGTGCTTCGTCTGCAGCCACTTCGCCGCCGGCCAGTCACAGGTCAAGGAGCGGAACGAGGACTTTGCGGAGATAGTCCGGAAACTGAGCTTTCCTATGGTGAGCTCCCGCCCCGGGCTCTTCGGGCCGAAGCTTTGAAACTGCCCTAGTGTTCCCCACGTTCTCTGTCGGTGCCTGAAGGGTTAAGGTGGTTCCTAGAAACGTCAGCAACACTCACCTGAATCGACCCTGTGTGCGTTTTTCCTGCGGGGCTAAAGACCCAGAGCGAGGTGGGGGAGGCCAGGAGGTAGTGGTAGACATTGCTCAAGTGGACGGATGGGAGCGTGAAACCCCGCGTCCTCGCTTCCAGGGCAGGATGCTGTTTTCCCACGACTACGTGTTTTGGTGCGGGGACTTCAACTACCGGATCGACCTCCCGAACGAGGAAGTCAAAGAGCTGATCCGGCAGCAGGACTGGGACTCCCTCACAGCGGGGGACCAGCTGACCAACCAGAAGAACGCCGGGCAGGTGGGTGCTCGCCGAGGGGTGCTTGCATTGAGAAGGGGGGTGGGGGTGTTGGCTATGCAACACGCTCTTTAAAGTCACGGTGTTGCCTTTGCCCTGGCTGGTGCAGCTCAGTGGCTCGAGCACCGACCTGCGAACCAAAGAGTCGCTGGTTCAATTCCGAGTCGGGGCACATGTCTGGGTGGCAGGCCAGGTCCCCTGTAGGGGGCACGTGACAAGCAACCACACACTGATGTTCCTCTCTCACTCTCTTTCTCTCCCTTCTCATCTCTCTATAAAAAAAAAAATAAATAAAATATTATTTAAAAAATCACGGTGTTACTTTTTTTCAATCTCTTGGGGTCTCTTCATGCTTAATAAATATGTATCTACAGTTTAACAGGTGTAGAATTACAATGCTTTTAAAAAAAAGGGAAAGGAAATGAAAACCCACATTACTTCCCAGGAGGAAAAATATATTATGTCCTCATAAGATTATCTCCCAAGTCGAAGAATAAACTTTTTTCCAATAATAGTGACTTCAGTCTCTTTGTCTTCAGGGCTGCCGATTTTTGACCTGAAGATCCCATGTAATATGCTTTATTTTTTCTTCTCTCATTTCTCACATCATCTGCCTTTTTGAAACTTATTCCTTAAAACTTATGACCACAAAATTTTGGAAGAATCCGTTCACGTTTTCTCAGAGTAGAGGCGACCGTGGCTGCTGGATCCAGTGGCTTCAGGGCCCCGGCCTCGCACTGCAGCCTGGGCACCACCGGCCCCCGTCCGCCCCGGGGCCTCGCGTGGGGACGGGGCTGGGGGGACAGCCACGGGGGCTTCCGGAGCCCCTCCGGGTCTGCCTCTCCCAGCGCCGCGGCCGGGCGTTCCTGTACTCGGTGTGACGGAAGGTCCCACGAGTGGTGCGGGGAGGGCCACGTCTCCGGTTACCGTTCCCCGGGCTCTGCCCACGCGGCCCAGAGTGCCTGTCAGATGCGCATGCTCCATGGGAGCGCGTCCCGCACGCCGTGGACACTGTGGGATGGCTGCCTGGATGGAAGCAGAACTTCTCACTCTTCAGGTAACATATGCAAGTCATGTCCTGTGTGTGTGTTTCTTGTAGATTTTTAGAGGATTCTTGGAAGGAAAAGTGACCTTTGCTCCGACCTACAAATACGACCTGTTTTCCGAAGACTACGACACCAGCGAGAAGTGCCGCACGCCTGCGTGGACAGACCGGGTCCTGTGGCGGAGGAGGAAGTGGCCTTTCGACAGATCAGGTGGGGGCACTTCCCCGTTTCAGCGGGTCATTGTGCGTGCAGGGGGCAGCGGGGGTGTGGGTGCCAGGTGGGGGGCTTCCTGTGATGCATGTTCACAGTTCTCGTTCGGTTGTGCTCGTCGTGTGGGATTGAGCGCACTGGGGTGGCAGTGGTTAGTAAGACCACACAGAACAGATCACACTGGCCGGTGGCACCGGCGGTGGCGGGTTCCATGGTCCCGGGTCGGGCGCGTGCAGGAGGCAGCCGATCCCTGTTCCTCTCTCACGTCCGTGTTTCTCCCTCGCTCTCCGCCTTCCTCTCTCTCTGCGATCGTAGCGGGATGGAGCAAGAGAGAGGGGCCGGGGGAGGAGGGGTGGACGCGGACCACAGCGTGGTGAGGAGTGCGGAGGGGAGGGGAGTGGGTGGGGGTGGGAGAGGATGTACGGGGAATAGATGGTAATGCAAAAACACAATGAAAATACACTATTAAAAATAAAATAAAAATTTAAGAAATGATAAAATCAATAAAAAACATATCTCAGGTTAGAATTTTTAAAAAAAGACCATCTAGGTTTCAAGTGTACAGTTCCGTGATACATCACCTGTTACTGCACTGGGTGCCCACCACGCAAACTCAAGTCTTCCTTCACCGTATACTTGCCCCCCTTTACTATTTTTTAACAAAGGTTATATGAGATAGAATAAATAAAATTTAAATATAAAACAGATTTTTAAAAATATTCTCCAACTTGCTTTTTTAAAATATTTTATTTATTTATGTTTAGATAGAGTTCGTGAAGGGAGGGAGAGGTGGAGAAAAAAATCAATGTGTGGTTGCCTCCCCACACACCCCCTGTTGGGGACCTGGCCCGCAACCCAGGCATGTGTCCTGACTGGGAATTGAACCTGTGACCCTTTGGATTTCAGGCTGGTGCTCAGTCCACCGAGTCACACCAGCCAGGGCCAACTTGCTTTTAATTATTTAACTTTTCAGCCTGTTTTCTTTCAATGATATTATTTCACATAAAGAGAAACAAGAAAACATTTCAGGAAATTTTCAACTGATTACTAGTTAAGGTTTAATATGAATCAAGTGGTGTGCAGGTATTAGGAGCTGCTGCTTTTCTGTTGAATTATTTACCAAATACGATTTGGTCACAGGCTTTAAGTATTTTTCAGAAGTAAAGCCTCCTTCGTTTTTATTGAGTAAAGCATAAAACAGTAACGTCACCAAGAAAGCCGACCCTGAAGGCAGGCAGACCTCCTGCCTGTTAACACGCGCACGTGCGGGCGGGGCCTCGGACATGCGCAGAGCCGGGGGGCGGGGCCAGCTCCGTGCTCCCTGTCCTGCCCTGCTCACGGGCTCCCCCTGTGTCCTCTTGCCGCCACTGCAGCTGAGGATTTGGATCTCCTCAACGCGAGTTTTCAGGATGAGAGCAAAATCCTGTACACGTGGACGCCTGGCACTCTGCTGCACTACGGGAGAGCCGAGCTGAAGACCTCCGACCACAGGTTGCGGGCTCAGTAGTATTCCTGCCGGGGCGCCACGCGGGCTTCCCAGGGTGCCGGGCAGCGGCGTTCTGACGCCCTCGCTTCCTGTACGCCCTCAGGCCCGTGGTGGCGCTGCTGGACGTGGACGTGTTCGAGGTGGACGCCGAGGAGAGGCAGAGCGTTTACAAGGACGTCATCGCCACGCAGGGCCCGCCCGACGGCACCGTGCTGGTGTCGGTCAGCAGCGCCGCCCCCGAGCTCAGCTTCTTCGACGACGCCCTGATCGACGAGCTCCTGCAGCAGTTCACAAACTTCGGCGAAGTGATCCTCATAAGGTAAGTAAACACTTATCACCCAAAAGCAGCTCGTGATGCGTCAGTCCTATTTTCTGCACTAGAAATTGCCTTATGTAGTGTTTGAGTAGCATGTGAGGATTTTTGTTTCCAAAGTTTGGGGAGATCACCCTGGGGAAGTGTCGTTCAGAGAGCTCATAGGTTTTGAACTGAACCCTCCACCCAGAGAAGTTGAAGGTGAGCAGCAGAGCTCCAGCGGACGCCGATGACCAGGCGTGCACATTCATTCCGATGTGCCCTCGCAAGGTGGCTGTGCAGTATCACACGTAAGCCGTGACGGGTCGCGGGTGTAGTTACTACGATACTTTTTAAAGGAAAGGAACAGTAAAGCGGAGTGATTTTCCCCCTTCCTCAGTTTGAGAAAGGCTGTGCTTTCAGTAACTTTAGCTCGTAAGCCAACTACTGTCACTGGCCAGTGAGCACTCGGGAGTCGTCCGTGTCAGCCTTGGTTTCCACTGTCGCCTGAACCGTCGCCTTCTGCAGAGCCAGGTGCCTCTTCCGTTGTTCAGAAAAGCCGCCTCTCCCAAGGGGGCAGCGGTTCTGAGAGACGGAATGGCCTGTGCATGCGCGCCCGAGCTCCCAGAGGGGCGGCGCCACCAGGCTCCTCTCCGGTCCGTGCGTCTGCCGTCTGGGTTTGCTCCGCAGGCGTCTGGTCCGGTGCTGGAAGAGCGGTGGCGAAGTGGGAGGCTCGACTCCGGGCCGACCTGGTTGGGAAGTGCGTGTGGGTGGCCCTGCCTGGACCTGCCCGCGCACGCCGGTGCCCGGGGAGGGGAGGGGGCCCTCGCAGAGTGAGGGGCGGGCCTGAGACAGCCGAGCCTTGCAGAGGGTGGGAGAGCAACGCAAGGAGATTGTAGTTAGACTTCCCTCAGATCTCTGGGCAAGATCCTACCCCGAAGCTTTACAACAAAGCAGAAAATCTCTAAAAATTTTAGGCTTTATAGGAAGGACACAGTGAAACCTCCCAGTTGACAGATGACAGTAGGCTTTGCCAAGTAGAGAAATGCCAGCCACCAGGGGCAGCATGCGGCCTGTGTGAGTGGGCAGCAGAGTACAGAGAAGTGTCCTTATGAGCCAATGGAACATGTTGCACGGGGCTAGGAGAGTACAGAGTGTACGGGGTGGGGGGTGAGGGGGGAGGCTGGTGCGGGGAAAGGACTCGTCTGTCCCTAAAGACCGTGGCGTTGACTTGGAGCCGGAAGCCTTCCCCTCGATGCTTGTCATCCTTAGAAAAGTACTGGTGACCAAACAAGGCATCGCCCCAACGTAAAGCCGTGGGTGCCCCCCACCAGGGACGTGCTGGGTGCTGCTCCTGCAGACAGCTGAGTTGGAGGAGCAAAGGCGGACAGTGAATGCGCACAAGGAGAGGGCTCCAGCCACTGTGAGACCACCCAACCCTCACCTTTCGGTGCGGGGTAGGACAGCCACCAAGGGGCACTGACCTGGAAACGCCCTGCCTGTGGAGGAGAGCTCTCCAGAGATGCCAGCGGGATGGAGTTAGCTGTGTGGGGATGCTCCTCCTAATGCTGGAGGGCGGGGGCTCTCGAAGTGTCCGCCCTAATGAGTGAAACGGGGAAGCCGGTACAGCTTCTAAACGACCCGCGGAGAGCCGTGGGTAGTGACAGCAGAGTCGATGGTGGATGCAAAGTCAGCCCCGCCCTGTGAGCACCGAGGCTGTGGGGCCACCGCAGAGGATACGGAGCAAGGGGGGGTGGCGCGGGGGAGCAGCAAGGGGGGGTGGCGCAGGGGAGCGAGGCAGCCTCCCGGTCCTGGAAAGAGCGCTCCACCGTCTATCTGCAGACCGGGAAAGGCCCCCTTCGGAGTGTTTGGGGGGGTGACGTCTGTCTGCCCCCGAAACAACAGCGTCCTGCGGCGTCCTGGCCCGGTGCCGGAGAGCCCGGCCGTGTTCCAGCGGGCGCAGAAGCCGGTCCCTGGCCTGTGGCTTACCCGGGAGGACACGTGCATGCACACTTCTGTGTTGGGCCTTCCCCTTAGTGTCCGCAGCTCACACCGCCGCAGCCTGGGTCGAGAGTCAGTGTGCATGCGCACACCCACACTCGGGTGTTTTCTCCCTTTGAGAGTCTGCGGAGTTCTGCCTGCGATTCACACGGTTGGGCGTATTTCCACTGATGAGACGGTTTCTGTAGACAAGACTGATCATGTCGCCGTTTTAGTCTTTCGTGTGGTGACATCATTGAGCGTCAGTGACCGCCATCTGCAGAATTTGTCCTGATGTCCTCGTTCTTTTCTACGCTCGGGATTTCTTCGTCCAGAACTGCAGGCTCAGAATCCTAGCAGAAGCCACCGCGGTCCCAAGACAGCGAATGGCTGTCCGTGAACCAGGACACGGACCCTGACCCAGGGCCTCTGGAGGTGGGGGGGAGCAGGTTCTGGATCGGTGAGCTCGAATGGGCCCCCATCTTCTTTCTTGGTCAGAGGAAGTGGCTTCAGGGGCGTGGCTGCGACAGCAGGCGTGCACCGCGCTGGGCAGGGGGTTCGGGAGACTTGGGTCCCAGTCTTGGAACTCATTTGCCTTGTAGGGTCCTTCTAACAAGCCATTTAAGCTCTGGCCGTTTTTGCCCCTTGTCAGTGACAGGGAGGGCTGGACGTGGAGGGTCATAAACGGAGACCCACCCGCAGGCCCCTGTCTGCTGGGTTAGCGCGGTGCTTACTGGAAGGACACAGAGTCAGAAGCTTCGGGCCCTCTCCAGGCCACCCCTGGATCTGCTGCTCTCTCGAGTCTTTTTCCTCTGGCCTCCGTGGGCCCCTGTGAATCATAATCACTGGACCCGTCCCTGGGCCGCAGGAATCTGAGGTGTAAACTGTGTTCCGTGACTGTTTGTGTTTCTCTTTCTTGAAGGTTTGTGGAAGATAAAATGTGGGTGACGTTTTTGGAGGGAAGCTCTGCCTTGAATGTTCTAAGCCTGAACGGTAAAGAGGTGGGTAGCATCTGCTGACTCTAAATCCTCCTGTGACTCGGTGTGTCTGAGGGTTATGCTTTCGTAAACACGCAGCCAGACTGTCCAGATGTGTGCCCAGTCCCAGAGGATGGGAGGCCTTGTGGAGACCTGCAGTCTTCATTATCTAGACCAGGTTTCTGACCAGCTCAGGACTATTTTGGTCCCTCCCTAGAGATATTAACCATTGATACAGGTTGAGAAGAAAACATGTTTACCACCTAATTTGATTTTAATTATTTTTATATAAAAATTTAAATTCACAACTGGGATAGACATTCTGGCCCATCTGTATAGTAGATGAGTTGTATCAAGTGAAGAAAATGCTTTTTTTTTTTTTAACAAAAACATGAGGAAGGAAGGTATTCATTTTTCCTAGGAACGTGTTTTATTGGCTTGGACAGTGGTGCCTGGGGACCCTTTTCAAGCACAGTAAAATAATTCCCATGGCGAATGTGGTCCAAAATGCAGCCATATTGTAACGGCTGCATCTGGTGTCCAGTGGGTGCTGGCCTGGCCCGGGAGCCGCTTCGTAAGGCGTGCACATGTCTAATCACTGCGTGGTGCACCTGGGACCACCGTGACATAACACAGAATGGCAGCTATAATTGAAAAGTTAAAAATTAAAGTGAATAATCCCCATAGATAGTAAATCCATTCCATTGAAGCGTTTTAGAAATCACTGATTAGCAGAGAAGTTCCTGACCTGTGACTGAAATGTCGTTGATGGGGGACATTTATGTCGGGGGGGGGTTCCGTGAAGTGCCATGTCTCAGTTTCCTCCAAGTGCCTCTGGACAGCCCTAATGTCTGAGCACGTAGCCACAAGATGGGCGGGCGAGAGTCCGCCGGATTACCCCAGCTCCGCCACCTGCTTCCACTTCCCTGGAGGAAGAATTTCCACACGTGTTTTGCTTTTGAAATAGGTTCTGTAGGATCTTGTTTGTTTTTCCCGAATGTAATCATAATACGCTCATGCAACAATAATTCGAGAAATACGGGAAAGTGTAAGGAAGGAAATGACAAGGACCACTTGTGAACTTACTTAATATTACAAAATCATTTTCCTCAGCCTTCACATATACACTGCGTATTCCTATTAGGACAAGTAGCATCCCACGTACACATATTAACACAAATGAAGCACGTGCACACATGGACACACACCCAAACACGCCTGGGTGCATGTTGTGCGTGCCTTTTCTCACGGCCTCTTTTACTTGAGACTGTACCGTGGACATCTTTCTGGATGAACAAACACGCCACCGTTAATGGCTGCTTTGGTTTTGTTATGTGGATAAATATGTAAATTTACTTAACCCAACTCCTACTAATAGATTGTTTCCAACTTTTTAAAAAAGATTTTATTTATTTATTTTAGACAGAGGAGAAGGGAGGGAGAGAGGGAGAGACACATCAGTGTGTGGTTGCCTCCTGCACGCCCCCTACTGGGGACCTGGCCTACAGCCCAGATATGTGCCCTGACTGGGAATCGAACCGGCGACCCTCTGGTTCACAGGCCAGCACTCAGTCCACCGAGCCACAGCAGCCAGAGCAGAATGTTTCCAACTTTTAGTTATGAGAGCCAGCGTGCTAGGGAAGTGCGTGTGCACTGGGAGCTGGGTGCCTGCCCCGCGGGTCCCCGGGACGGCGTCCTCGGTGCAGACGCGCTGCGTCAGAGGGCACAGTGCGTGCCGGGGCCGTTGTCGGACTGCTCTCCAGAAGGGGTGTGTCCGGTTGCGCTGTGCCGCGGACCACCCAGGACCCAACGTCCTGCGCAGTCCTGTGTGGCTCGGGCACGGTCTGAAAACCCAGAGGCGGTGCGTCGCCTCTGCGTGAAGAGCGCGAGTGCCGGTTTCTCTCTGATTCCTGGCGCTGCGCCCCTCTGGGGAGCCGCTGGGGTCCTCAGCCGCTCTCCCGCCGGGCTCGTCCTTAGACGCCCACTTGACCTGAAAGGTGTCCCTCCTTTCCCGTGTGTGCTGCAGACACCCTTCCCGGCACGCCGTGCGACTGCTGAGTCGTCGCCGTGTGGAGACGACTGGTGTCATTTCCGTGTCATTCCAGCTTTTGTCGCCCAGCGGGCCCTTCCTCACCCCCTGACGGCAGTTCAGAGCAGCGCCTCAGTCGGCATTCCGGCCGACGTGGGTTCCCTCCCTGGTCCTTTAACTTTCCTTCGTTCTGCATTACTTTTACTGTATTTTCTCCATTGCCATTCATCCCTGGTCCCCTCTCCCACCTCCCCCCACCAACCTCCCCACCCCCCGCCCCCCCCCCGCAGTCCCCACAACTATTGTTGTGCCCAAAGTTCTTTTTCCCCTTGTTTCTGGATCCTTCCACGCCCGCCCCTCCCCGCCGAGCTGTCAGTCTGCTGATTCTCCTTGTTTTGTTTTCCTTTTTGTTTGCAGCACGTCCCTTTGCCCTCGAGTCTACCTATGTCCCCATCACAGCCCTAGAAAGTGTCCCCTTAAAGGGTGTTCAGAGCTCTGTCACGCTGCGTTTGTGGGCAGTGTTTGGACAGAGTGTGCCCCGTCCTGTGGAGGCAGGCACGCTGAATGGTGCCCAGCTAAACGGAGCCCGTATGACCAAGGCGGTCATTTCATCCCCAGAGAGTCCATTTTCATGCCAATGTGTCTTCATCTTCTGTCTCCTTTGTGCAACCAGTTGCTGGGCCGGACCGTGAGTATCGCTCTGAAAAGCCCCGACTGGATCAGGACTCTGGAGGAAGAGATGAGCCTGGAGAAAACCGGCGCCCCACTGCCGCCCTCCACCAGCTCCACCCTGCTGGGCGAGGACGCCGAGGTGGCGGCCGACTTCGACATGGAGGGTGAGCCGCCGACACGCGCACCCGTCCCCGCCCCCGGCCTCCAGGCCGCCGGTCTTCCTGCCTGTCCCACACGTAGCAGCGTTGGGTCTGGGCTGGCGTTGTGCCTGGACTTCAGGTGTCTTAGCGCTGTGCCAGCCGAAGGTGCAGCCCCTCCCCAGTGCTGGCTTGTGCCGGTGGGCGAGGAGAGAACAGGGCGCAGCTGTCCTGTGAATCAAATAGCACGGGAGGAGGCGGCTGGTGGCATTCACAAGAGCCACTCCGCGGAGCAAGGGGCCCAGATGGTGGTGAATCGAGGTGTGGATGGAGGTGCGGATGGAGGTGCGGAAGCAGGGCGAGTCTGTCAGCAGCTTTACAGAAGTTTGTCTCAGAAGGGGGGGCGCAGAACCCATGTGTCCCACCCACAGGAGGGGGAGTGCCAGCCTCGAGGTCGGACCGCAGCCCGGGGCAGGCGGCAAGAGCACCACCTTAAGACTGGTGTCTCCTCTGGGAGGCGTGCGAGCCGGGGGGTCTGCAGGAATGGCGCAGCCCACAGTCTCCCAGGGGCTGGGAGGTCGGGGCGGGAGGCCCAGTGCTCCTGGAGCCCAGGTGCAGCTGGGAACGCAGGTGGCCAGGACTGCCGCCAGTGGGTCATGCGGTGTCTCTAGCAGCGCCTCGCCGCAGCCCACATGTAGTTGGGAGAGCTGAGGTGGTGGCCTTGACACAGAGTGACGCAGGGTGACGCAGGGTGATGCAGGGCGACGCAGGGCGACGGGAGAGGAGTGCGGCACAGGCACAGGTGTGGCGGAGGGGCGGGCTGGACGGGGGCAAGCGTTCAGGAGTCCCAGGCCTGGGTCCTAGGGACGTCACCAGGAGAGAGAGTCCCCGAGACTGGAGCTGGGAGGTGGCTGCCGGAAGGGAGGGTGGGCGTTTGTCAGCTCAGAGGGAGTGCGGGCGGGGCGGGGTTGGAGGTGAGGCTGCCGTCGAGGTGCTCCGGCTGTTGCAGGGTGGCGCCTGTGGCTCTGGTGTCACCCAGAGAGACGCCGCCCACTGTCTTGCGCTCTGGCTTGTCCTCGGTGAGTGGGTCGGTTTGGAGCAAGGGTGGAGGTTGGAGAATATGACAATAGGGGCAGGTGGAGGGTGTTACGTGAACTCCTGGTGGCGTAGCCCCAAAGAAATAGGCCTTTTGTCCGTGAAGGTTCGTGTTCTGGAGGGGACACGCACATGCCCGGGGAGGGGGGCGTGGAGGTTCGGGAGGGTGTGTGGCTCTCACAGCGGGCGGGGAGGGAGGGCACGGTGCCCGGAGTGACAGGAAGCGGCCGGCTGTGCAGTGGTGCGCGGAGCGCCCAGTGTCCCCTGTGTGCGCTGTCACCGAGGCCTCCCGCCGCCCTGGGACGAGCCAGGGTCTTCGGTCACGTCTTCTCGGCAGCGCGGGCTCTGACCCGAGGTCCCTGCACACGCACCTCTCTGTGCCGCCTGCCCAGCCCGGGCGTGTTTCCAGAGCCGCAGCAGGACCGCCGTGTTTTGCGCGTGACCCCTTCAAACGGGATTGGTGGGAAACCCTCTGAGGAAGCAGGAAGGCGGTGACCGTGTCCCCCGTGTCCCGCAGGCGACGTGGACGACTACAGCGCGGAAGTGGAGGAGCTCCTGCCCCAGCACCTGCAGCCGTCCTCGGGGCCCGGCCTCGGCGCGTCCCCCGGCTCCTCGCCCCGCACCAGCCCCTGCCAGTCGCCCACAGCAGCGGAGGGCCCTGTCCCCTCACTTCCCACACGGCCGAGTCGGGCAGCGGCCAGAGCTCCCGGACAGCCGCCTTCCCGGGGTGAGTGCGGTGCTGCAGGGTTGCGTGCCTCCCCTCCCTGTGTGCGCTGTCCCGCCGTCAGGCCCCGTGCCTCGGGCTGACTTCCGCTGCTCCCACGTGCCAGACCGGCCGCGGGCTCGTGCGTGCGAGGCAGGGAGCCTCGCAGGGAGTGAGCCTCGCGGAAACGACCTCACCCCGCCGCCCTGCCTCGGCCTTTCCTGCGTGGTCGGGCGCGGCCCTTCTCGGAACCGAGGGTTCCCTGCCGCCACAGCAGGGAGCCGCGCCGTTGGGGCCCAGCTGTGACCTGTGCATTACCACCTCTGCTATCGCAGGAAGCGAGGGGAGACCAAACACGTTTTGTGGTTGGCATTCTAGGTCCTTGCTCCCCCCGCACTGGAAGCTTTGTCTCTAGACGCTGTTTCTGTCACACGAGTAAGGCACCGCCCCACGCTCACCAGCCTCTTCAGAGACACCTCCCGTTTCACAGATGTCTCAGGCTCACCCAGACTGCTCTTCCAGGGGGGTTCGCTGCACAAATGCGGGAACAGCAGAGGTGCAGAGATAAGTGGAGCCTTCCTCCCTCCCTCCTCTTCTCTCTCTCCCTGCGGGGAGCAGACCGCACGCACGCAGCGTGGACGACGCCTCGTGCCCCTTCCCAGGGCCGCCCAGTGAGTCAGCCACCTTCGGCCCTGGGCCTGGGGCGCCAGTCCACACTCAGCCGGCCCTGTGGCCTGCACGCACCAAAGGGTCACGTACTGGCAGAACTGCTTATGCCATCGACACTAAAACCGCGTGTCATTGCGCTGCAGCACGAATGGAGAAAATTAGCAGAACGGAGACGTAGGAAGCACCGTCCCCCGGTGCCCTCGCGCACCCGGAAGCTGGCCTTCTCACCCCGAGCACTTTTCCAGGTTCTCCAGTCGAGGCTCAGCCGGCCACGCTGCCGCCGCAGCAGAAAGACGCTCCGCAGGTCTTGGAGCCCAAGCGGCCGCCTCCGCCCCGCCCCACGGCGCCTCCTGCCCGGCCAGCGCCCCCACAGAGACCGCCCCCGCCTTCAGGTGGGTAGCAGGCCGTTGCGTCCACCTCCTCTCCCAAGAGCCCCTCCACGCGGCGACAGGTGCTCTGCATGCTCCGAGTCTCTAGCTTCTAGATTTTACTGTCCTTCTGTTGTTGCTACTCCCTTGGCTTTTCTCCGCAGAACGTGGTGGCGCAGCCGCAGGTAAAGAATGTTCTCCGCTAGCTTTCCGTGATCCCTTCCCAGAGCTGCCCCCTCACGCATGTGCGAGGCGCGTTGTGTCGCTGCTGCTGACCCGCTGCCGTCCTGGCTTCTGTTAAAGCCTCGGTCACTGCGGCCCGAAGAGCGTGCATGTGCCTGTTTACTGTGAAGTTCATGCATTTGTTGGAGTGGCCTTCGAGCATGTCCGTGTGTCACTTCAGCCAGCAGACGCATGCAGTAGTCGCTTCCATGGTAGATTCGATGGGGGCTTTTTTGTAATGACGCCAGGAGGCTCCTGCGGAGTCCCTGCCTGGCAGCTGACACAGCTGCTTTGGTGACTCCGCACCGTTTCAATTCTCTCCTGTCGCTTCCTCTCCGCTGCACACGCTCTCGCGGACTCTCAGGCGCCAGGAGCCCCGCGCCCGCCAGGAAGGAACTGGGAGGTAACCGCTTGCGTTCGTTACCACGCGCGCATCCTGGTTCCCTGATGCTGCGGGGCTTGGTCCCTGAGACTGAGAGACGTTGTAGGTTTAGCTGACGAAGGTCACGGCGAATGGCATTTGGGTTGCTAATGGCTCCAGCCTCCCTGAGTGAGAGCCCAGACTCTGGTTTCGCTGGCGAACGGAACCAGCGAAGACTCCCGGGTCCCTGGCGGGCTGGGCGGGCTGCCCATCCAGACCTGATGTGCTTTCCGTGCTGAACGCGGTCAGCCTGGGTGCGGAGGCTCGGTCCCCGGAGCACATGGATTTGGAAGGGGCTCCGGCACAGCGACTGTCCCGAGTACTTGCCGGGTGGTGCCCTGTGTCGGGCGCGTGCCGCGGTCCAGGAGCGCCCGGCGTGGGCAGGCTTTCCTGGGGTGCTGCTCACAGTGACAGTAACGGTCGCCATGGCGTCTGGTCACAGAGCCTCATTTTCCCAAACACGAGAGCAATTTTGTTGTTTTAATGCGGAAATATCTTTATTAACAAACGAGTCCCTTGTTCCGAGTGTGGTTCATCTGATTCGTGTGAACGCCCAGCGAGCTCAGTGGAGGGACAGGTTTGACAGCTGCGTCACCTCCGCATCGCAGCGCCGGCAGACCGCGGCGAGACGGGGCTCTGTCCCTGGCCTCACGGGGAACGTGGCCTTTCCCGTCTCAGACCCTGCTTCTGTTTCTGTGCTCTTGGTCATGCGCTTTCTCTTGTCCTGTAAGGAGGAAAGCAGCTAGTAGAAAGTAAATTTTTTAATGAATTTGTGAAAAGTTGTATCACATTAGTAACTCTGACTGCCTTAGAAATCTGATTTGATTTTTAAAGATTGCCTGTCTTCATAATTCTCTTCTAGGCAGTGCCTGAGGCATGCTTGGTTTTCCACCCTGTGAACCAATAACTCCTTTAAGGCAGCAAGCTTTGAGAAACTCATTGTAGTGCTTTTCGAGTTTTTTAAAAAAGAAAGCAGCAAAACTAACTTCTGAGAGACCAAGATAGTCTCACAGAGATTTACAATGAAATGCAAACGATGATTATTTTCCTTTTCGGCTGCCAAGTGTCGGGGCTCTTACTAGAGATGATGTAACTCTGCACGTGAGGAGTGCCCAGCCCCCAAAGGCAAGGCCGTCGTCCCACCGGTTTCTACCCCTGCCCTCCTCTCGCTCCCCTCTCCTCTCCTCCCCGTGGTGGAGGGCAGGGCCGCCTCTTCCTGGCCCTCTCTTTGGGGGGTGGGGGGGTGGCTAGGCAGCCAAAGTTACATTGGCTTGTACTGATACATTTGAGGAAACTTAAAGTAGACCAAGAACCTTTTGGCAAAAGTGAGTTGAATGCGGAAATTGTCGCGGTGCCTGCCTGGCACTCTGTGCTGCGGCCCCAAACACCGTGTGGCTTCTGTTCTTTCTCCACAAGGTGCGGGAGCCCCTCCCAGCCCGCGGGCGGCTAGGCGGGAGATGGAAGGTAACAGCCTGTGCGTCGTCGCCCGGTGTGCAGAGGCCTGCTGACCCTCTTCCTGGTCCAGCCGTACACTGCCCCCCCCTCCTGCGTGCGCCTGTGACCTTGTCTTTTCTCCCCTGTCATTCTGCCTCGTGGCTGTCCATTCGATTTCCCTGCAAGTCTCATGTTGTTCTATGCTGTTTTGTGTATATTTCATGTATACTTGGGATGTGGAATGACTGTACAATGTTATTTTAAGAAAAATACCTTCAAAACCCTCTTCAGAGTAAGTCAAAGATTCAGGGATGTGCTGTGCTAACTCTGAAGCTTTGTGGTTATAAACAAGCCCTGCTAACGCAGACCCCCGAGGTGCAGTGGCGGACCTCAGAGACCGTGACTGCGTCTGCGCGGGGTGGCGCCCACTGCGTTTGCTCCAAGGACCCTGGAGGCCAGAGGCCCCGCGCCCAGGTGGTGGTCTGCGGAGGCTGCTGCACGCCGCACGGCAGCCGCACTGGACTTTCCCTTCAGAAAGAGCACACCTGCGGGGCTGCGTTCGCTGGTCCCCTCCTTCGTCCCGTCCTGCGCCCCCCTTTCCACGGCGTGTGGCCCCCACGTGAACGCTGTCTTCCTTCAGGCAGCTGTTCAGCGACCCGCCATGCCTGTCGTCCGCCCGGCCCTGGGACTCTGTGATGCAGGTCCCAAAGGGCCCGTCCCAGGGTCCCTTCATCCCCCCCCGAGGCGGGCACAGCTGTCGCCCCAGAGCCGTGTGGTCGGGACCCTCTGTGTGGCCCGGAGAGCACCACTGCAGGCTCAGGGGCAGCGGGTCGGCTGAGCTCTGAGGGGCGGGCGGGCCACGTCCGGGACCACCCCCATGAGCTGACGGTCGTTTTTGGGGCTCACGGGGGAGAGCGCATGTCGGGACAGGCGGCTTAAACACGACCCGCGAGAGATGCGTCAGGCCGCGGGCTGGCTGGCCTCCCACAGACGTCCCTCTGAGCGCCCAGGGCTTTCTCTCTGTGGGGGTGTTCTGCTCAGGGCCGAGGCCCCCTTGGCCCTCACCCAGAGCAAAGTCCTCTGCCGCCGTCTTGGGCCCCGTCCGTGCTGCTGCGGAGACAGGAGAGCCCCCAGTACCGCACGGTGTTGCTGCGCTGTTCGCTTACGCTAATTATTTTTCCTTCCTGCTGCAAAGCTCCCAAGAGCCCGGGGATGGCGCGGAAAGATAACATAGGTAAAAACACTTGAACTGAGCTCCTCCCCTTAGCTCGGGCCCGTGACCAGCCTGCCACGTGGGGTGGGCGCCCACGGCCCCTCGCTCGCCCACCCTGACTGCCTGGGGCGGGGTCTCTCTTGCAGGACAAGGCCAGCCTTCGCCTCCCGCGGGACTCGCAGGCCTGGTGCCTGCTGGACTCGGCGCCGCCAGACCGGTAGGCAGCCCGGCCCGAGGGCGGGGGGCCTGGGGTCCAGGGGCCGGCAGGGCCTCGACGCCTGTGAGGGGGAGAAGGACTGGGGCAGCTTTTCACCCGGCTTCCTCAGCAGCTCGTGAGGACATGAGGTCCTGCGCTCAGTGCGAAGGCTCTGAAACGAGGTTTCCAGAGGAAGGCGCGGGAGAGGGCGGTCTCTCGGGGTCGGAGGTCGGGGCGCAGGGGTGTCCCTGCGCATTCACTGTGCTCGCTCGCACCCGCAGTGAGCGGTCCTCCCCCGCTGGAAGTGGTCCTGGGGGTGTAAGTCACTTAGAAAAAACACGGGGCGGGGGGTGGGGCACCTGGGACCCAGTCATCAGAGACCCGGGCTGCTCCGGTGGCCCGGCGCCCGCCAGAGGCCCCGGCTGAAGGGCCGGAGCCAGACCCTGTCACCAGCGTAGAAATGAGCAGACCGCGCCCCCTGGAACCACTTCTGCAGTCTAATCAGTCGTTCTCATAGACTCTCCAAGGTGGGAATGTTTGCCTTCTCTCTTGTAGCGCCATTTAACATCCCCGTGTGCCTGGCACACGGCACCCAGTGGGAAGTGAAGAGGAAGGCTCTAGAACGTGCGGGTGGCTGTAAGCAGAAAGCAGTCGGCATGACAAGATGGGAAAACACCAGCGAGTGGGGGGGAATGAGGTGCAGGAGCGAATCTTGTCACAGACTCTTCCTCGCTGAGAGTGAGTGGCTGTCTGAGAGGGTGTGCTTCTTCCCACGCAGGTGATCCCACCCCGGGCCGGAGTGATCAGCGCCCCGCAGAGCCACGCCCGGGCGGCTGCTGGGAGGCCGGCCCCCGAGAGCCAGAGCAGACCGCCGGAGGGCCCGAGAGGTAGGCTCCACCCAGGGAACACTGGCGCGAGCCCCCGAACCACCCGGCAGCTCGCTAAAGGGGGGTTCAGACCCGGTTCCCAGAGAACCTGACATCTGAAACGACTTTTCAGGTCCAGCCCTTCCGGAACCGCTGAGGCCCCAGGCCGCCCTGCCTGCGCAGCCCCCGCTGCCCGCAGCCGTCCCGAAGATGCCGGAGCCGCTGGTCCCCACGGCCGCACCTCCGCCGCAGGCCGTGCCCCCGCCCGCTCTGGAGGCCCCGCCGCAGCCGCCGCCCCGGAGCAGGTCCTCCCACGGCTTGCCCACGGACCCCCCGCCCCAGCCGCAGGCGAGTCCTTGGCGGCGTTAGCTTTCACCAGGCGGAAGCAGGCGTTCGACTTCACTCTCTTTCCGTGTGTGCTCTTTGGTCGCGATAGCCCCCTGAGACCCGGCTTCAGCCGGTGCGCGTCGTTCGACGCGCCAGACTAGTCACGCGACAAACACGCGGTCGCGGGGTTGGCTTCCCTTGTTAACCTGTTGCTCAGAGCAGGGGTCCTCAGAGAGGGAGCCCGCGTGAGGGTTTTCCGGGCGTTTCCGCGCAGCTGGCTGCCCCTCGGGGCCTTGGGGCCGTGCATGCGTCAGGGTGAGTGCGGCGGTCGGTGGTTCCTCCTGCTCTTGCTCACCGCTGAGCACTGGGTTCGGGCTTCCACTTCTGGAGAGGGAGGTCATTGGGTCGCTCCTGACCCTTGGCCGTGCGGCCCACTTCCAGCAGAGCCGGTGACCCTGTCACCCCTCCCGGTGGGAGCGCAGCCCTTCCCTGTGGCGGCGGGGCGGCTCCGGGCTCCCCGGGGGTCTCAGATGGCCCATCACTGTGGGGTCCATGGGGGGCTCGGGCGTGTGGCTGCAGGCTCAGTCCGCGCGGCACGGACCACCCAGGCGCTGCTGCTGTCTGGTGTCGCACAGCAAACCGCGCCAGTGCCGGGCCAGGGGGGCACAAGGTCGCAGGGGCCGCTGTCCTGCCGGAGCGCTCTCCCGCGGGAAAGACCCCGCCGTGGGGACGCGGGGCTGTGTCCACACAGAAGTGACCCGCGCTGCGCACTAGACTGTTCTAGCTTCCGTTACATCCTTTACGGCGAAGTTGTCAAAATACGCTTTTTATGTAGTAAGTGCATTTCTGTCGTCTAGCCTTACATTTTATTTCATCCTAAAGTTTTAACTTGAAACTACCATCAAGGTCAAAGGACAATGTCAAGTTTTAAAAGTCTGCCTTTAAACTGTGGGAAGCTCTGAAGAGCAGAAATGTGACGTATCGGCGATGGCCCTTGGACCGCGCCTGTGCGCCCCGGTCAGCGCTGGCTGTGCGGGCGGCAGCGCCTGTCTGGCTAGCGGGCAGGAACTCCGGCTGCGCCTCTGCGTAGTGACTGCCCCTCGGGGCCTTGGGGCCGTGCATGCGTCAGGGTGAGTGCGGCGGTCGGTGGTTCCTCCTGCTCTTGCTCACCGCTGAGCACTGGGTTCGGGCTTCCACTTCTGGAGAGGGGGGTCATTGGGTCGCTCCTGACCCTTGGCCGTGCGGCCCACTTCCAGCAGAGCCGGTGACCCTGTCACCCCTCCCGGTGGGAGCGCAGCCCTTCCCTGTGGCGGCGGGGCGGCCACAGGGAAGGTGTTGAACGTGGCTCTTAGCGCAGTGTGAGTGTTGTTGGCAGTCAGCATGTGCTCCGACTACTGGCCACCATGTTTGTAAACGCTGAGGAAGGATACATCATGGGAAAAAATAGTATGTTCTCTTAAGCTGATTAACACCAAAAAGTATTCTGTGTTTTTCAGAAAATTGAGGATCCTAAAGGTACATAATCATCTGCTCTTCTTTTCTCTCAGAGACTTTTAGTGAGTCGTGCATTTTTTCCCTCATTTTCTTATAAGGTGTGCTGTTGTATTTTTTTCTGGAGTGTGATTGGAGGGCAGAAACCCTCTCCAGCTAGCCGTCGAAGAGCTTTCTGTCCTTGTTCCAGGGCGGAGGGGGCGCATCCGTTTCAGAGAGAAACCTGGGCCTCCGCCCCCAGAGCCCAGTCACGCCGTGCGCTCTGAGACCCCTGTGGAAGGAGGCGGGGCAGACGCAGGTCCCGGAGCGGCGTGCGCTCGTCTGGCATTGAGGAGGGGTCGGGGCCACCCCCTCCTGGGAGGCCCTCGCGCCTGTGGCGACAGTCGCGGCCCCGGGAAGGGCCCCGTCGAGTGAAGCTGCAGCTGGCGGTAGAAAGTCACCTTGTGACCCGGGACTGCGACGGGATGAGCGTTGCAGGACCTCCGCGTGCTGTTTTCTCGGGCCCGTGGTTCTGATTTCCGCATTTCGGGGGACCAGCTGGTGACCTGGAGGCGGCAGCACAGGCTGTGCGTGTGGCCTGGTGGGTCGGGCGCTCAGATCCTGTAGTCGGTCCGTCGAGACGGGCAAAGACGGTTGCTTTAAATTCCCGATATTCCTTCCGCCTCAGCCTTTGATGCCAAATTCCTCTGAACGGCACATACAGACACACTCTCTGTCTGGGGGAGGGCCTCGTCTCGCGCAGGCCGAGGGCTGCGGAGAGGCCGCAGCGTCCCCCGGGGACGGCACGGCATGGCGCGGCGCTGCGGGCCGGGGGCGGCCGCGTGCTTCCTCCTCGCGCCTTGGGACTCTCGCACCGCGAGGGTCCTGCCTACTCAGAAAACCAGTAACAGGCATTTCAAATCTTACAGATCTTCTGTGGTGACCGTAAGCTTGGAAGGGTAAGACTTTCAAATATGACATGTTTGATATTTTGGTAATAACGTGAAGTAGTCTTAGAATGGAACATTTAGTAATTCTTACATGTCTTTTTTAATTCTGCCCAAAACTGTAAGGTATTTGGAACAGAAAAACATAATGACCCAGCTTTCCTTTTTATTACTATTTCGGTGTTTTTGACTCTGTAATTCTATACAGAAAAGACTTTCAATTCAAATGACGGTATAACATGCTTTGTGTCCCTGACAAACCGTGAACACGCCCCACCTGTCTGTCCGACCTAGTCGGCCGTCGGGCACCTGACGCCAGCCGAGAACCGGGCTCAGGGCTGCCGGCGCGCCAGCTGACGGGGTGCCGCTGGCGTGCTGCGTCCAGATGGCACCGCCCCTGTGTCTTCGAGTGACCTGTGCCCACTCGCGTGGGCGCCACACAGACACGCGGGGCCCCGAGGGCTCCGGAGGGCACTGACTGACCCCCCAGGAGCCTGTGTGTGGGGGCAGGGAAGTCTCATGACACTTACTTTAGAGCGGTGTCTCTCTAAGTCGTCATGAGTTGGCATTTTAAGGTAAGGTAAGAGTTAGATTTGGGGGAAGATTTGCTCGAAACGGTTTCTTGAAAATGCTGCATTAAAAGCACTGTTTTATTATAGAGAGACTATGATGTCATTTGTTGTTTAAAACAACAAAAATAGGGTCCAGTTTTACACCCTGGCGTTCCTTCCAGCCGATGTGCTAGGAGGTGAAGTAATGGCGTGGCATCCTTCAGAAAACTCGGAGCGACGGAGAGTCAGTAGTAACAGAACGGATACTGACCATCGTTAAACCAAATACTGATTTTCACTGTTTTGCAAAGTGCTGGTGTTCTGTGCGTTTCCTCTAATGATGGTAAACCCACAGGCCCTGTCAAGGCTGCGTCCTCCCCTTCTTGGCTTCAAGAAGGAGTTTGTCTTCTCGCTGTTCAGGGCTGCAGGGCCAGGATCAGGGTTTGGGGGGTGGGCTCGTGACCGCTGTCCCCCTGGCTGGCCGGCGGGGCCTCGTGCTGTGTGCTCACGTGGCCCGTCCTTGCTGCTGGCGGGGACAGCAAGCCCTCTGGGGTGGCTTCTCCCGGGGCAGGAGACCCTCCTAAGGGGCCCACCCTTGTGACCCCATTCAACCCCAGCCCCTCCCGAAGGCTCTGCCTCGGCATCCCCCGCCCCCACATGGGTTAGGGCTTCGACGTGGGGGCTGGGGAGGGACACAAACCCTCCATCCGTACCAGGCTCTTCGCGTGCCCTAGGGCCTCAGGCGCCCACCCGGATGCTTGTCTTCGGGCCAGCAGAGCTGTGAAGCTGTCGGTCAGCAGTTGCCCCCGGACAGAGCTCGGCCTGGGGCCCCTGTCCACAGCACGCTCGCCGCTGGAGTGACGGGCGAAACCGGAGCCGTGGCGCAACCTGGGGCTGGGGCCTGCGGGCCTGCACGCGGGGGGCTGCCGTGTCAGGGTCGCTGGCTGGTCCTGGCCGCCTTCTAACACTGTCCTCTGATGTCTGTGTCCCTTTCTCCAAGCAGGAGCAGCCGCCAGGCCACAGGTACCGGACTGCCCCTCAGTCTTCTCTGTGCTTCTCGTCTGTCTCCGCTCGCGGGATGCATGGGTCTCCGGGTCATGCATCTCAGGCCCCGCCCATCTTCCAGACCACCTGTCCGCCTTCACAAATTCCCTTATCATGCCATAAACCTGCCGTTTCTTTCTCCTAGTATTCTGAATTTTTAGGAGCCATTTCAGTTCTTGCTAATGCTTCACCATGTTTTGCTTTGTGTTGTTTTTTTTTTTTTTCATGAAAATTAACAAAACTAAAAGTTGTAACTTCAGTAAGGTAAGCTTTACGTAGATGAAAGTCTGTTTTGCAAAACTGATTCTTGGCAAAATTAGTTTTTTTCTTAGGTTTCGTTTAAAAAAACTTTTTTCAAACCATTTTAGTTGCAAGATTCTTTTCTGGTAAGGACAAAGGGATGACCTAGGAAGATTGGAGTTAATATTATATAACAGGACTGTTTAGAGGTTCTCCCAGCACCTTTCTCTGGGAAAGCCCCACCGCGGTCAGTGTCGCCCCGAGTCCTTCTCGGGTCACGAGTGAGGCCAGTGCAGCGAGCAGCCGGGTGGCCGTCAGCTCCCGGTCTGACTGGGCAACGTGACCCTGCTCCCACCAGATCATCTAACTTCCTTTGAAAACAGATTCTTTGTCCTGTGAAGAGAAAGGTGTTCAAATAGTTAGCACTCGTTTGGCACGGGCCTGCGCTGTCAGCTGCGCAAAGCACGACCTTCCCCTTCCCCGGAGCGTCCGCTGTGTCCCGGCCTCTTCTCGGCCAGGGCAGGGAGACCAGGGCAGGGTGGCCAGGGCAGGGAGACCAGGGCAGGGAGACCAGGGCAGGGAGACCAGGGCAGGGAGACCAGGGCAGGGAGACCAGGGCAGGGTGACCAGGGCAGGATGAGCCGGGCAGGGTGAGCCGCCAGACCCGCCCGGCGCTTCTGCCCGCCGCGCCGACCTGGAGTCATCCCGACACTGGTGGCTCTCCAGAGCAACGGTGACCGCAGGAATTTGTCCCTGGTGAATCTGTCTCAGAAGCGGGTTCCCGCTGGTGGTAGTCCGCTTCCTGTCATCTGCTCAAGACGAGTTTGGAGGCCGGGACGTGTGTGCTCCTTAATTCCGAACAAATGTATTGTCCCATGAAGTGCGTTTGGAGGACAATGCGCTTCTTCATCCTACTGTGACGTACCTTATAGGACAATTACACAACCACTCACCTGCGTCCTAGGGGCGTCCCTCCCCCGTGTCCTTCTGCAGAGCCACGACTCGCGGGGCTGCTGCGCTCCATCAGAGCCGCTGCCCTTCTTCCCCGTGTGTTCCACACGCGTGGTTGTTTTGCTTTGGCAACTGAATTCATTCGGGGCAGTGCTCCATTTTGTCACGTTGCAAGGCTACAGCTAAAACTCTTCCTTTCCTGTTATTTTCAACCCAGAGGTGTGGTTTTTTATTTTTAAATCTGGCATCAATAGTTAAGTCACCCACCACGTTTTTGTAATTCAAGTGCAGTGCCTGTGAGCTAATTGGCTCCCCTGGCCAGGACCGCAGTTGGTGTCCCTGGAGAAAGGGTGGTGGTGCCCCACTCCCGCCGGCGCCCCTGTGACCAAGGTGCGCCACCGTTGTCTGAGGCTGCAGAGCCCCTCGGTCACTGACCCTCCCGGCGGCGGTCACAGGCGGCTCGGCCTTGGCACCAGCGCTGGGCGCCACCCTGGGCACAGCTGCGTTTGGTTTTGGAATGAATACACCAAATAGAAAATGGGTTTTTTTTAAACAATGGGTTTTAAATAGTCATCGATTCTGGCTACACATAAGCACATCTAGATGTTTTGGAACATTTTTATAAGATGAGGCAGATCAGTCAAGGAACATGGTCCCGTTATCCGCAGACTTTATTCTACAAAGGAGAACTTACTTTAAAAGGCAAAGCATGCTTTGAACACTAATTTTTCCAAGTAGAAAAGGAAAAGATGCATCATCTTCAGCTTACAGATGTGCTAATAGAATTAACGTTCATCCGTACAGTCGGACTTCCATAGTAGCATTAACTTTAAATGACAGTGTGTTTAAGAGAGTGATGACACCATCACGACCACAGGTGGGCGCTGGGACTCTGCGCAGAGGCAGCGCGGCTTCCGAGCGCAGTTTCTCCAGCGTGCGGGCGCCGGGCAGGGCTGGGTGCGCACACAGGGCCCACAGCCGCTGCACACGCCCGCTTCCCCAGGGCCGCCCGCGCTGGCACGAGCCCGATGAGCTCTCTTCACGAGATGGACTTATCTAGTGGGCATTTTTCCAGCACGAAAGTCAGTTGCTCTCCCTGACTCAGTCCACTAGAGCGACGAGATCCTCTTCGTTTTCTAAGTTTGCATACTTGCCCCTCAAGTCAGGCACAACTGAGACAGAAAGCAAGCCTAGGGAGTATTAAAAGTAAAATAGACATGTTACTTTAAAGGATGTTTTTGATTATCCAGTGCTCTCTCTGCTTTCCAGGTAAAAGCCAATGGCGTCTCCACAGTCAGACCGGACTCAGCGTTCAAGAGTGACCCGTTTGAGGACTTGTCGTTGAACCTGCTCGCTGTTTCAAAGGCTCAGCCCCCTGTCCACACGTCACCCGCTCTCGCCCCCGGCGCCCAGCCCTGGGCGCCACTGCCTTCCACGATGCACAGGAGCACCAGCGCTCAGAGCCCCGTGAGCCGCATGCCCACGCTACCTCCCGTCCCAGCCCGGAGTCAGCCCCAGGAAAACGTGCGGTGCTCCCCAAACCCGTTCACCGGGAGCGAGGCCAGCGCCAGCCCCTTCACCGACAGGACCGCAGCTCCCGGGAACCCGTTCAGGGCCGCGTCCCAGCAAGCAGACACAACCCCGTGGTTCTCCCAGGAAGAGCCTGCTGCCACCCGCCCCTTCCCCCCTCTGAGGCCCTCGTCCTCTCTGGGTGGCTTCGAGGACAGCTCTGGTCTGCAGGGCCTGTCCTCAGGGAAAATGAGCCACCCGAGAGGGTGGGTGACCTTCGAGGAAGAGGAGGACTTTGCTGCGAGAGGGAAGTCACGGTCGCCTTGCCCGGACCTCCTGGGCAGTCAGCCCGGCTCCTGGCCCGGCTCCGGTGCGACCTTTGACGGAGCCTGGGGTCCAGGCACGGGTGTTTCTCCCCCGCTGGCACCGTCGCGGAGGCCACCCCCACCTCCCGTCCCAGGGCCCCCAGCGGGCCCCGCCCCTCCAGGGGCTCCGCCCACAGCTTGGGCCCCTCAGGCGGCACCCACGCTGGATTTCACAGAAAGATGAGGCTCTCCGTGGAAAGCGGCCGTCCCGGCCTCGGCGGGCAGAGCCGGCAGGCGGGCGTGCGTCACTCGTGTGCACTGAGGCTGTCGGGAACACCACCGTTCAGCGTGGGCAGAGTCGGGACGTGCGTGTGCGTGTGCGTGTGTGTGTGTGTGTGGGAAACGAGGACCCAGGCCTCCTCGCTGACTAGCTGACTAGCGTTCGGGTGCGTTTCTGTTTGGACAACCGGGAGAGGGCGTGGCCGGAGGAAGGGAGTGCTCAGGACCAGTCAGAGGACAGCCCTCGCCCGGAGATCTCTGCTGGTCTTCGGGAGGCTCCCCGCTGGCCCCGCCGCCCCGCTCCCGCCCTCGCCCGCAGCCGGCGTTGCTGGGGCTCTCCCAGAGGGCTCGTCCAGGCGGCACTGACACGGCAGTCTCTACGGCAGCGCTTGGAAAAGAGTGTGCAGACGCACGCACATTCCACATGTTTGCGAAACTCAGCATTGAAATTCTAGGACATAACTCAGATCTTTACCTAAAAGTCCTAGCAGAGTTCTTTCTTCACGTCATTGTCGAAGGGACGGTTGTGAATGAAATTTGGACGTTTCTTTCCTTTTCTTTCCAAAACTGGAAACATCCTCACTCCAGAGCCGGAGTTTTCTCCCCTTACCCACACACACACACACACACACACACACACACACACAGAACACGTCACGTCCTTGCCGCTCCCCACTCCCGCCGCCCACGTCCTTCCCTCTGGGAGTAGCCACTGTCCTGGAGGCGGACCCTCCTGCCCTTTCAAAAGAGCACGGTGGCCTTTTGTCACCGGGTGAGACACAGTAGCGCTGCGTGTGCCTGCACTGTCCCTGAAGGCGTGTGCCGCCCGTCCCTCCCCCGCTTCCGCTTGTGCTCCCGCTCCCGCTCCCCCCGCCTCCTGAGCAGGGGAGGCGGCCCCGGGCGCGCTCCGCACGGGGGTCCGCTGGGCCGGTGCTGTCTCCCTGAAAGAGGCGGCAGAGCGCACCTGCGGCGCTGCTCCGGGTTCTCCGAGGCCGCCGCCCTCCAGGCACCTGCGGCTCCGCCTCCTGCACTGCCGGCCCACAGCCCGTCCGGCCTCCGTTAGGGTCCTGAGGAAGCGCACGCGCGTTTACAGAAGGCCGTGTTCCCGTGTGGTGGGTCCTGACCCGGGACTCCTTGAGCCGCTGTTTCGCTGTGAGCTTAAGCTGCAGCCACCTTTGGCCATTGAGATGTGCACTGATGTTCCTCTCCGGTAGCCTTGTGTCCGCCCACCGGAATTCCGGTGTCCGACCTTCAGAGGGGCGCGCTGGGGGGACAGCTGAAACCAGAGGTTCACGGGTGAGAGTATGTCCAGTGGGAAAAGCACAGTGAACTGCGTTGCACTTAACCACATAAAGCAAGTCTATTAGCAAAACGTACTTTTCTAAATGCTTAAATAGTACCAAAATATTTATAGAAGTAGTCCTCTCTCTGTTAACAGCCAGGATTTGCCGTTAGAAATTACTCTCGTGAGTTTTATATCGTGCTTTTTGGGTTTCTAATCATTTCAGCAGTGGTGTACTTTAAACAGCAGTATTACTGTGTGTGAGCGCCGTGCTTCAAAATGTGAACTAACTTGTAGGAACTGTGGCTGTACCATCTCCGTGGTTGGTGTGTCTGGTGTTTGCTCTCCTTCGGCAACACGATTCACTCCGAACGTTGCTGGCGCAGCTGCAGTTGTGTGAGCACCGCCTCCCGGCGCAGACAGACTGCTGTCTGCGCACACGCGCCAGGCAGCAGCCCCGCCCTCCTGGGAACATGAGGTCTGGCGAGCCGCCGAACGGGCACCGAGGTATGAGAGGCAGAGGTGCGCTGCCAGTAACTAGCCATCGTTCTGTGTGTGACTGAAATATTTACCAGTTCTAGTAAAAGCAGAGCAAAAATTAGACACTAAGGATCTCTTTGTGAATTATTTGTTCTCTATAGTAGATCGCTGTTTTTATGTAAGAATTTTATTGCTTATGTGGCATACAGTATTTATAACTACATACTTTATAGAAGTGTATATTAAAGTCCCAGTATACAAACACTCTGTACAGACCCTGTGAAATGTGCTGTCGTATGAAATAAAGAGATCTGGCTTTACTGTACTGACTGTTTTGCTCAAAAGGGAAGGATCTCAGCCATCTTCCTTGGACTTTACATATGCAAGTTCATGACATTTGGAGATTAACTCATTGTTGAATCAGGTATTTTAATTCAAGATCTTATTTTCATTCATTTTACTTCGCCATATAATACTCTAAAAGAAAAAAATATTAACATTAGTGATCATTAAGAGGCCCTCACTCAAGGTCTGGCTGGCTTGAAAGTAGTGCACGAAGAGTCCTTTTCCAGCACCAGCAGAGAGATGAGGGCGGGGCGGCACGGAGGGAGAGCCGGCCCGCAGACGACCGGACGGAAGAAGAGACTGGCAGGAAAGACACGAGGTCCGAGTCCAAAGCCAGTGGTTTCTGAGTATTGACTTTTCCCCAGCCTTATGTGGTTGCTATTCCACCAATAACAACCTTGGTTCATAAATTGAGTGATGTTCATTAACCTCTGAGGGAGAAGTTACAGAATAATAGGCTTTAATATTTGAAGTTTTAGGTAATTTTAGATTTATGTGCAGTTTTAAGAAACAGCAGAAACCATGCACCCTTGACCCAACTGTCCCTGGTGGTCACAGTCTGCAGCGCGAACACAGTGCCACGGCCCGGGCGCGGGCGCCCGCGTGATGCAGAACATTTCCGCCCTCTGAGGTCCTCCCTCTGTGCCCCATCCCCACCACCCTGCCCTCCGGTCCCCCTTTCCCTTGTCCTTAACTTCCGGTGACCACTGACCTATTCCCCATTTCTGTGATTTTGCCATTTCAACACAAGTTACAGAAATGGGACCGAATGGTATACACCCTTTTGGAGACAGCTTCTTTTTTTTAGCATCAATCTCCAGATACTCATCCAGACTGTGTGCACCCAGTTCGTTTCTTTTTCATGCTGGGTAGTATTCCTGGTCTGGATGTACCCCCGCTGGTTGAACGTCACTCCGCCCCATCGGGGGACAGCTGGTTCCCAGTTTCCAGGGAGACGTTTGCTAATGTGAGCAGCAGCAGCAGCGCGCACATTCCGGCGTCCGAGTCACCCTGCCCAGGCCTTCCTGGAGGGCCTGGACTGGCCAGGGGCACTCCCGGGCTCGGGGTCACCCCGCCCCACTCAGACCCGGGAACCCACCCCAGGAATAAGAACTCCGCGTAGCGGGTGCCTGTAACATTCAAATAAGCTCAGGGGCGACAGCTCTTCCAAGGAGATAACCGCGGAGGAGCCTCGGAGTCAAGGACTCTGCAAACGTCACCCACCCTTAAGGCGTTCCTTGACGGTCTCGTCTGAAAAATCAACTCCTGTTTTGTTTTCACCTCTTATTTGAATTTACTTTGTCCGTTTATTTTTGTGTTCTCTTTGTCATTTATGGGACATAAGCTCCATGATAGCAGTGACCCAGGATGTGCCCGGGTCACCGGCGCCTGAGTCGATCGCCATTCAAAGACTTTGTTGGCTGGTGGCCGACCCGACAGTTTGGGGAGGGGCGGCCGGCAGCAGCCGCGTGAGCTCCCGAGACGTGCGGTGCGGACACGTCCCCCGTCCCAGCGGCGGAAAACCAGCGCGGCCCGACGCCGGGCCCTCGCGACCCAAGCGGGCCTCCGAACGGTCACACCGGAAGCAGGGGGGCGTTCCCGGAGGTAGGGATTGTTGGAGGCGGAAAGTCCTGGGAGGCCGAGGGGCGGAGCCGGCTCCCGCGCGTGCTCAGCGCCCCGCCCACTCCCGGCCTGCCCGCACGCGCCCCGCCCTCCCGTCCGTCTTCCCGGTGGACTGTCGGGCCCTGGGGAGAGGACTGGGCAGTCCGCGCGGCCCTCCGGCGGCCCGGTCTGTTGGGAGGGTTGCTCGGACGACAGCTACTTCCGGGGGCGGGGCGAACCTCCGGCAGGTGTGCGGGTCGTTGCGGGGCGGCACCTGTTTCGGATTGGATTGCCGGCTCTCCGCGCTCGCAGCTTTACCACCCCGGGATTTGGACCTTGAGTAGGTGGTCCCCAGACTCTGTTTTGTTTGTTGCTCCTGGCAACAGCCACTTCCGGGGCGGGCGGGCGAACCCCGCCAGCAGGTGCGGTTCGGACCTGCGGCGCCTTTGGAGTGTGCGGGCCGTGCAGGGCGGCGCCTGCTCCTGGAGTGGATTGCCGGCTCTCCGCGCTCGCAGCTTTCCCACCACAGGATTTGGACCTCGAGCAGGTGGCCCTGCCCCCAGAATCTGTTTCCTTTGTTGCTCCTGGCAACAGCCACTTCCGGGAGCCTGTGCCCACACCCTCCACACCGTAGGCCCGCGAGCCGTGGGTTCCGGCCTGGAGAGGCGGTTAGTCGGTGGGGCCCGCTGTGCCTTCGAACCACCGCGGGCCGCGCACCCGGGCCTTCTCGCCGCCTCGGCGGGGCCTGCGGAACCGCCATGGTTCTGCTGCACGTGAAGCGGGGCGACGAGAGCCAGTTCCTGCTGCAGGCGTCGGGGAATACGGAGCTGGAGGAGCTCACGGTGCAGGTGACCCGGGTCTACAACGCGCGGCTCAAGGTGCAGCGCATCTGCTCAGGTGGGTCGGCGGCGCGAGAGTCTGTGGGTCCGGGGTCGTTGGGGACGGAGGAGGTTGCGCGGGGCCCACACGTCTGCCTGGGACAGGCTGGGGGCGAGGGTCCACTTTGTCAAGATGTGCAGCCGCCGGGCTTGAAACGGAACACGGAGGATCACCGGCGACCCCAGGGGGCCGCGTGGAGGCATCCGTGTGTTTTTCGGAGCCAGGACTGGGGCTCTGGGAGGACGCTCTGGAGCGGCCGGGTAGAGAGGACAGAGCCCCAGGAGGGACCCCAGAGACGCGGTCCAGGAGCAGTTGTGAGACTGGGGACGAGCGCTGGGCGCTCGAAAAAGGTGAGTTCAGGGTTTTGAGACCCTCTGAACTGGAGCAGTTTCCGGTGTGAACTCTCAGTCCCCCAGGGTGAGAAGCCAGGGCTAGCCCTACTGTATCTGACCCCTTCTCAAGACCCGGCCTGTCCCTCCCCTGCAGCATGGAGTCGCCCCGCCCCCCACACTCAGGCAGCACCTCCTGGGGCAGTCCCAGCAGGTGTCCACCAGCCACAGTGGCCACCCAGCCCTGGGCAAGCAGCTAGTGCAACCCAGGAACGGCGTTTAATTTTTTACTTCATTTTAATTACATCTAAATGGTCAAGCCCACCTAGTAGCAGCTACCTCCTTAGACGGCACAGAGTTTGACGTGATGCTCCTCCAGGTGTGGCCCAGGATGCTGAGTGTTTTCATAACTAGAGCACGTGGTTTCGGGCCACAGAGAACTCTGCAAGGGGCCCCCTGGTTTCTGCCTGCATGAGCATACATCGAGTTTATTTGTCAAGGGCCCTGATTCCAAAACAAGCTCTGGTCAACGTTACTTTAAAATGAAAGCATTTGGGGGATGAGGGAGGAAAGGGACTCAGCTTGTATTTATAAAATTATCCATCGAAAATGGGGTGCTGAGTGTTAAGTGATGTTAGTACACTTGGAACCCCCACATTTATTCTGCAGCCGCCACTGGGCCCCAGGGACTCAGAGTCTGGGGGGCGAGAGACAGTGAGCCCCCCCTCAGGGCCCCGCTTGTTCTCCAGGACTGTGCTCACGGGCCACGCACGGTCTTCCCGGTGCTACGGGAAACCGGTCCCTGTCACCCTTTCCAGTGAGGAGGACAGGGAGGGAAGGAGGGAGGGGAGGGGAAGGGAAGGGAGGTAAAGGGAGAGAAAGAGGAAAGAAAGAAAGTTTGTAAGGCTGAAGTGTGGACGGGTTTGGGGGTGGGCACTAGGACGCAGGAAAGTGCAGAGCCATCCTTTGGGTGGTGAACGCAACCTCAGAACACCAGGGCCTTGCCCCGTCTCTGCCTCTCCTGAGGGATGAGAGCTGCCGTCGGCCCTCCCCTCTGGTTGGACGGACGTAGAATTATTTCTGAAGTGTTTATCCAAAGTTGTGTAGAAAGTGGTAGCTGTCCAACCGGAGCCTGCTTCAGATGCCACAGCTGTAGGCAGGGAAGACGGGCGTGCGGACGGCCCTGCCGGCCTCACCGGGTTGAGTGGACTGAGATGACCTCCGTGGCCACCTTGGGAAGCCCTGCCGAGCTCCGGGGAAGTGTGCGCACAGACTGTGGATGAGTTTTAATCCGCCTCTGAGCGCCAGGAGGTGGGGCAAGCGCGAGCCGGAGAGCTCAGGGTCTGCATCCCGGCGCCGGGGCCGTGGGCGAGCTCCTCGGGTCTCCATGCTCCCGTGGGCCTGGGGACGGACGAGGTGGAGGGCGGCCTGGCACATGGCACACGTCGGGGGGGGAGCTGAGAGTCTGTCGAACAGGATCCGGAGCCGGCGGGCACGCCCCTGGCCTCTGACCAGTGCCCTCTCCAGCGGGGTGCAAGGCGGTGATGGTGTGTGCTGTCTCTTGTTTCCAAGAAATGGAAGAACTGGCCGAGCACGGCGTGTTCCTCCCGCCCAACATGCAAGGGCTGACGGACGACCAGATCGAGGAGCTGAAGCTGAGGGACGAGTGGGGCGAGAAGTGCGTGCCCAGCGGCGGGGCCGTGTTCCGGAAGGACGACATCGGGCGCAGGAACGGGCACGGTAACCCAGCGCCCGCAGGCCGGGGCCGTCTGTGGGTTAAAGACTGACCTCGGTTCTTCCGGACAGAGGGAGGGTGCACGCCCAGCGGGTCCTCGTGGTGAAACGCCCGTCCAGGGCGAAGTGGGCGGATGAGGAGGGTGTGTCACCTCACTCCTGATGGCAGCCAGCTTTAAATATTTTCAGATGAGCCCCATGAAACTGCCAGTTTTGTGGGCCACAGATGTTGAAAATTGGCAGTGTCATGTGGTGCAACCCAGTGGTTTGGGGGGGATGATCCCTGAAAGTGCACTGAAGACCGTGTCGTGTCAGGGCGTGCAGGGACGGGGGTTAGAGATTCTGTGTGGCAGGAGGGAGTGGGTGTCGGCCCGGGGTCTCCGCTGGAGCCGAGGACGTGCCCCTTTTTGGGGCAAAGCCCCCCGGTGCACATCGG